AATACATAAAAAATTCATTTTTCTTTCATTGTTTATTTTTGAACTTATGTACGAAGACTGGCTGAAAAGTTCTAAGCTGATCTGTGAAAGACCTGTACAAAAGTCGATGGTTTACATTTATTTTTCTACATAGTCACCTTTGAGGTGTACACAGTTTTGATAACAATGTTGCAAGGCCTGAATGCTGGTCAGGAAGACCTTTTCTTCAGCTACCCTAAAAAAAGTTGTTCACAGCTGACATGACATCATCATAACTAGGAAAATGACGACCGGCTAGTTTCTTTTTCATTTTGGGAAACAGGTCATATCCATGGGTACAAATCTGGTCAAAAAATTATCAGGATCTGCTTCAAAACGGTGCAGATGTCCCTGAACTTCAGGAATCTGACACGTTTCTGATCAGCAGTCATGGGCTTTAGCACCCATCTTGCAGAAACTTTTGTCATTCCTAACTCGTTGGCGATAATGTGCTCAACCCTCTCATGAGAGATACCCACAACACTGGCAATATGTCGAGTGGCCAATCGTCGATCAGCAATCACCATGTTATGCACCCGGGTAATGTTTTCTTTAATGGTTCCTGTTGATGGCCTTCCAGGACATGGGTCATCATCAAGGCTCTCTCTGTCACGCTTAAATTCTGTGGAAAAGGAAGAAGCAATATCCCATAAAAGGAAACCATTTCGCCATGCATTTGTGTTGGGTTTAGTCCTTTCAGTTGCAATTATATGATGACAGCCCTATAGCAAGTTTTGTCCATTTCTGGTGATTTCAGTGAGTAGGTTCATAAAATGGTCTGGTACAAAGACAATAATAACCCTACAGTAGCAGTTCTTATGTCTATGATTTATTCAATGATTATACTTGTTGGTGGCAAAAGTTTGTTTCAACCCAATTGATCTACCCTTTTCAGGCTTATAACTGTTTAGCCAGCCCTCATAGCAAGAATGGCCAGGTCTTTAAGTAAATCTTGCATAAAGTGTCTATAAAGCAGTACAATGTAATGGTTTGTTCTGTTATTGTGTACCCCAATCACTAAATGCCACTTAAAGATTATACTATCAAAGTATCATCATTGTGTATTAAAGGCCCCAATATTCAAGGAAGTATAGCAAATGTAGACTTTTAAATAATACACAATTAAAAAGAAATAGTGTTATTTTACAGCCATTTCAAGTTGATGTTACTTTCTATTGATTTTGTGCTGCCATCTTTGAATTTTGTTAAATCTAATTATTGAAAATATTTACATGTTTTAAAAGGAAAGCATAAATAAAACAATCTCCATAATTCCATAGTGACTACTTTAAGATTCCTAGTTCTTAGATTTGTGAGATATATATTGTTCAGATATGACTTTAATGTTGATATTTCCTGTAAAAGTGGAGTTTTTATTGCTCATTTAGAAGTTTCTTTATGATAAGTTTTTTCCACAATACAATTGAATACAATATAGTTTTGATATTGAAAAGAAAACAAAAACGTACTGCTTACTAATCATAAGATTGAACCCTGCCAATTACTTGTATTGTTTTTCCTTCTGAAACCATGTAAACACCCTACATGTCACGGTTTCTAAGATTTCTGTTAGAAACTTGCTTGGCTTGTCAACTCTTTTAAACATTTAACATATCAGAGTATTTTACATCCTGTTATGTAAAATTTTTTGAGAAATTCTTTTTAAAACATGAAATTATCATATGTTGACAACAGCTCGAATAATGAGAGGTGTACCAGCTGGTGGGGTATATATCTGGTTGCCTGGCAACCTGTCTTGAGCCTAACAAAGCTTTTTTGGATAGAAATATTATTTGGACTGAATGTCACATACCGGTACTTAAGTAAATACTATGACCAAATAACATACACAGACTTGTTTAGTATTTTGAATAATGTCATTATGTGAAATACACAAATCCTGAGGTATTCCATTCTGCAACAGTTTGCTTGATGCCCTGAAAATACTTATGTTTTATTACATTAAAGAAAAGAACTCCAAAAATCAATTACTGCAATGAGTCGAGTAGCAAAGCATACAGTTTAAATCATAGCCTATATATACAAGACCTACATTCAGAAATAAGCAATCGAGTGTACAATTAGTCGGTCAGAATGTGAATCAATAATTTCCTAAAAGTAAATTTGTACAAGTGAAGTAAAAATTGAGAATTCCGACAAAATCAAATGTCAAGTTAACTAATGTTATCTAAAATGTTGAGAACATATTTTTACCAGAAATTGATTAAGTTACATTTGCTTTGTATTGTTATTTATATTTGACAAAGTTTTCAGATATAATCATGTCTCTCCATTAAAATCAGTTACACTTCATTTAAGAAATATACTTTTTTTATTAAATAAAAGTGCACTTTTCAAAGATTTATTTCTATATCAGATTTTAAACTAAACAAATGGTAATTTGGCAAAAATGGTAATACAGTTTGAATGCTTTAATTTCTAAGTATTAATTTGATTATTTGAAGGGCTATTGCCAGATTTGGTGACCTTGAAACAAAAAAATTACACAGTAATTTTGGTTTTAGAATTGAACCTCTTTCAAAAGTTTTCGACAGCAGAATTTTTCGATGTCTTGACTGGATAGCCAGAACTATAATACAACATATAATACAATTAAGTTGATAAAATGACCTTGATAAGCGAGACAAAGAAGAAAAATATATACAACTGCCATATTTAGAAATGTTATTATTGGGACATTGACAGCTCACAACATCAGCTTTTGTCCCCATGTCAAATTGCATGATTAAACAAAGCTGGAATATACTGGAATCTTGGCAATATCTCTTTAAGAGAAAAGAAAAGAAAAAAAAATGACAAAAATGTATGGATATTTATTCAAAGGAGAACTTGGCAAATTATAATGACCAATTGAAAAATATCTTATTTGAATATAATTTGCGAAATTATTTGACCAATTAAATGATTTAAACATATTCAGTAATAAATTCTTATTGTAATTGATAGACCCAGGTGGTCAGAGGTGATGACCTTTAACACTTTACATCACTGTATGACTCCATGTCAAATTATTATTGGTATCTTTATTTATTTATTGTCATGCCTTTTGTCTCTGTATAGCATACAACATTTGAGCCGCATAATCATAGATGAATTTCTGAAAATTGTGTTTACTCTCTATAAATGTATTTAAATATCACTAAATATATTGAATGCTCTAATATGTTCTATATGTATTTGTATAGATTCTAGTCATATATATTTTCTTTCTTTTTGTTGTAAGCGTACTTTCTAAATTGTATTGTAAGATTGAATTAGACATCATGTTTGATTTAGGCATCTTTACACATCGCCCTTGGATCAGTAGTGAACAAGGCAAAGTTTATCTATATTCATGTATATTCGTTTTTATGTGATTTTTCTTTCATCTTGTAATTGTATGCTGCTCCCCGTGGGCGTTTTTATGCAATAAACTTACTTACTTACTTACTAGCTGCTTTGAACTTTGATTATCTAACAGTAAAATTTAGGAATTTTGTTAGTCTCACTAAACATTTCTAATCGGTTCTAGCGTGGCCGTCTGGTAGAGGCAAAAGATGTCAATGTAATAAAAACCAGGGGAGCAAGGGTGCAGGCACCTAAGTCTGGCTCAGTGATCCTGGTGTTTTTAGCTTGTGCATAAATTTTTTGTGGGGCAATCGGACAATGTAAACTCAAGACTAAAAAGGGAGGGAGAGAGAGAGAGAGATGGGGTTTAAAATTTCCTCCCACTGCTAAAGACCACTATGTGCAAACGAATTATTGAAATAAATTGAACCATAGGTTAGTCCCGAAATGACCTAGTTTGTGTGGAGTGGACTTTAAACCCCATTGCTCTCTCTCTCTCTTTAGCAGTGGGAGGAAACCAGAGGAGCACTGATATTAATAGACCAAGATTTTGATGAGAATAATTTGATCATCATTGTGGTTATATCAAACATGTAATGTTCCCACAACTCTCATTTCACATTTTAAATTAATTTTAGTGGAGAAGGGAGCGTAATAAAATGTCTATCAATGACGACAAGTGATATTGTTTTTACAATGGTAAAATTGGGTTATAACAATCGAATGTCTAATCTAAGGGATTAGTGTGACACTAACTATGATTGGCTAATTAAATACCCGTTCAGAATGTATCGAATTCTGTAACGTAAGCTCAGGAGACTGGTGTTGAGAGCTGTCATAAACTCGACTACAGGGATCATCTTTCATACTAAATTATGACTTCATATAAATTCACATAATAACTGAGATAAAACTATCATTAATACGTCCACAGCATCTAATATTCTAATTTAAATCTGTCAAACTTAACACAAGAACCTGGCTTTTTCTGGTGACAGGACATCACTTTTAAAGTGACAGTTGTCACAAAATGGCCAATTTAAGATCAAATGATATTATATCAATATGCAAATGAGAAAATATTTATGGTTTTAATGAAATTTGGTAGGGTTTGCATTATTTGAACAATCATTGAACATCTTGTGTCATATACTCAAGACTTTGACAAAATTAAGATTCTAAAATGTGAGTCTCTGCCTATAACAATCCTTTAGATAGAACATTACAGGTGCTCTATAAGATGTCTTCAGAAGTAACATGTTAAACTGAGAATTTTTTTAATGAAATTGCATTAAATTGTTGTTGTATGTCAGGCAACAAATAAACTTCCACCAGCAAAACTTATGAGAGTGGCTTTCAAGTGTTCAGACACAATGACTACACATTAAATTTGTTTGTAAGTTTGATTTGGATATGGTTCCTTTTTATGATTATCGATAACTAAACATTACCTTCAAAATCTTTGACCTGTAGAGTGCAGATGTGTACACAACGAAATCATTCACTTGTTTTGATGGTAACAATATCTGTGTTTGTGTCTTGTATACATGGTTGTTCTCTGGGTTTCCAGTTACTTGTTATGTGTGGTGCAGTCCTCCTTTATTTTAAGACCTGCAAACGTTTACTCTTTTCAGATAATAAAGTAAAAGCAGAATCAACCACAGTAACGTGCCGTAAAGATTGTTCACAAATTAATAAACAGACTGCACCTTCATCTAAATTTGAATATGGTGAAAAGGCCTTTGTAAATAGTCCCTATGAAACTACAGCCCCATCACCTTCTGGCTCTGTGTGTTCCTCAAACTCTGGAAAAGAGTCCATATCTTCGTTTAAAGAATCTACATTCAGTTCTCCAACAGATGTTTACATTAGCAATGACAGGTAAGTGGCCATTGATTTTTTCAATACAGTAAAAATATATTTAGTTAAGAAATTTATCAACACTCCTAATTTATTAATTTGATGGAATGGGGGATAGTGCATGAGCTGTAGGTAATAAGTTTTGAGATGGGTGCAAATGTTGTATTTTGATCCCACCTACCAGCTGCAGGTAGTATGCTTCAAATTTTCTCCAATATTATCACCCTGCAAAAGATCCCATGTTGTTATGATTTATTGAAATGCAAAAATGACCATTTGTTTCTCCCAAAATAGACTTGTTCTTGGTACGGGGATGGTAAACAATCTCTTTCTGTCCATCAAACACTTTGGAACAGAATAACTCTCTTGCTAATTAAAGTAGAATAAATAAGCAATTTAATTGGTTAAGATGTTACAGAATGACACAGCATCAAATTGAGGTAGAATGTTCAAGCTTGGCATAGACTTTCATTGGGTGAATACCTTGACTTAAGTTCAACATATGGAGATATAGTCAATCTGATTTGATGATGCTTTGGTACACTATCTATAACTCAGACTACTTAAGTGAAATTACAGGTTATTAGACATGGTGTATAGTTTCATTGCATTAATACCGTGACTAAGTTCAATAATGAATATTTTCTGCTCTGGTTAAGCAGATTGTTAAGTAACTTGATTTTTCAATGCTCTATATAAGATAAATGTGCAAGTAATTAATGAGTGTTATCTATTTATTTAAGCAAGGGCGATTAGCCTTAATTACATGAAGGTTATTGTTTTCATGGCAAAAATTACAATGTGTCTGTATATTTGATATTATTCCATCATGTTGCGACTTTAATTGCTTTGCCCTTACTTTACCATATTAATTTTATAGCTACCTAAACATAGTTCAAACTAGGTTCAGCACACTGTGTGTGATTCACTATTATCTATTCTAAGAAATATATATTCCTTTGATATTTCTTCATTTGGAAAAACAGCAAAGAAATTTATAATGATTCCTAATGGAAACTGTTGTTTTCAAAAAAATGTGGGGATAAAAGTAAAAATGAAAAAGTTTAAAGAACAAAGAAATGTCGTGTTAGTAAACATGATTTTACTCTGCTACAATGATTGCTCCTGCTGGGAGCAGTAATTAGGGGGTTATTAGATGTGATGAACACCGTAATTTTCTGTGAATCTTCTCTCAATTATACGTTGTAAATATGTCGTTTATAAATACTCCCCTTTCGAGTCATGGTTTACAAATACCGAAAAATAAAAATTGTAGTTGAGTTGAAAACTGTAATTATGCACGATTCCAACGGCTACAAAATGCTCCCCTCGTCCATGGCTTTTTGTTGTCATGGAAACTGATAACGAAATAGAACAGTTTATGTGAAGTGATGTAAATTGGAACAGAAGGCTTGTCGGTCCTGCAGTTGAGTGAACCGCGAGGCGTAATTCATCCTAATTGCGATCAACTACAATTATCGAACAGTGCCCCAAGGGGAGGTAATAAGAATGTCATTTCAATTCGCGATGCAGATATTTGATGCCGTAATTTAGAAGATCAGTTTTTTAGAAGGATAGACGAAGGTAGATTGAAGATCACTCAAGATAAATCTGACTTAGAAATTTTCAGACTTCCTTTTTTCTGAACAATAGGAGATATTAGTTTGGAATCAAAATACATTTATGAAAAAAAGCACTGGATTATCACATTTATTGAATATATTTTTATACACCTGTATTTAAGAGTGGTTGTATTATGTTGTCCGTTGTCCGTTGGTCCATCCAGCAACAATTGCATGCTAAATCCGCTAGGTTATGGGTGTTGGCGTTGAGCAACGTTCTGTTACAGAGTTACCTACACTTTTCCAAAACCTTGTGAACATGATAGAGACTACTGTTTTTAATAGATTTTTTCTCAAGGTTGGTGTGAAGCATTTGGGAACCCTATAGATATTCAGCATATAGTATCCATATGTTTCAAAGTTACCACCCTTTTCCGAAAACCCTCTAAAAATTAAAGAGGTTACAGTTTTTATCATATTTTTTCAAGCTTGTTAATGATATAGAGATCAGATTTCTTAAAAGCAAAAAGGATTATTATCAAATTTGGTCTGTATGCTGCTATTGAAACAGCTTTCTAAAATACTTGATGCCACTTCCCATTTAAAGAATTTTGATATCAAAAAATGTTTGTTGCCCATATTGACCTTGGTTTCAAAATCTAATCAGTATTTTGGTCAAACCTGGGAAAATTTTGCAATCAACTCACTGTAAACCCCCTACATCCCGGTGTAGCAGATCTACCTCAATTATGGTGGGTGTATGTAGCTACAATTTTTAAATAGACTTATGTTGGATTTTTTTTTCTTTTATCTTCAGATTTGTAAGACCACAATCGGAACCCAGTAGTGGTTACAACAGCCCAGAACCCCGAAATCCCTCATATACTCAACATTCCCTTATCACAGCCACATCTTACCCACAATTCCTCAAACATGACTATCATGATCGTAATTTCTTGCCTGCAAGGAATTGTGGGTATGGTCCAGTACCACCACTACCACCTAGTGTTATGTCAGTTAAACAGGAACCAAGAGATAACGGATATGAGACCTCTCAGTGTTGTGGTAAGTCCAATTAATATTTTTACACATCCTTCAATCATTTGTCTGTTTCGTTGTTATGTCCATCCATATACCAGATTCAACAATATATTGCACCAGCACTGGTTGTATCCTAATATGAGAAGGAAGTATTATGAGATCTCTTTGCGACACTCTTGAATGATTTATTAAAGAATGAAAAATGAAGGAAAACATGACTATTCATTTACATTTGCCTTATCAATCTGTTCTTAATTTTTTTATGATGTGATCCCTCTATGTTCAAAATTTCACAAAATTGGATTCAACCAATGTTCAGGTATAATAGTTATTGGTGCCTTTGATTGTTACAGTGGCTAATAAAAGACATAAAAAATAAATTTCATTAATATTTTTTAATTTTCACCCTTGGAAGTCAATTTTAATAATTTGTTTTTTGTCATTTTCACCCAAGTCAATTATAATTCTCACCCAAGTGATTTTTAATATAATTTGTTTTTCTTAATTTTCACCTCAGACAGTTTTAATATAATTTGTTTTCGATAATTTTCACCCCAGTCAATTTTAATTTTCACCTGAGTAATTTTCAATATAGTTTGTTTTTTCTAATTTTCACCCAAGTTGGGATGGCCTAGTGGTCTAGAGTGTCGTGCTTCAACCTCTAGCTGGCCGGTTACCTCTGGTGAGAGTGTATGTGGCTTGGAGATAGGGGTGCCGGGGAGGCAATTCCGGCGTGACTGACCACTGAGTGTCAAGGGAGATATGGGAGTCCCTCCGCAGAAAGTCTGAAGTCGATTTCCTTGCATCTGAGTGAGGCCCGGCATGAGCAAGGTGGGGGTGGGGGGTGACTGGAAACATGTCTGCGAATGCTGGCCCAATGTCAAATTCCTCGGCACAATGTATGCATTTTAGCAAGATGATGAGTGACAAGTGTGGCCCAGTACTTGTTTTTTTTTTTTTTTTTTTTTTTTAAAACAATATTTTTATTGAGTAAATCTGAATTTGGATTGTGGAACAGGCTATGCCTATGTGTAACCCCTCTCTTTAATCTATATACATGTACACATTATAAATATATACATACATACATAATTATATAAATATAGAACATATTGGATACATAATGGATAATACAGAGACATTTTATTTTTGATAAATATTTTAGAAGGTGGAAATCTATTTTAAAAGTACTGCTTAACATGGGTCAATGTTGCTTTGATCAGGGGGTGGGGGGTCGCATGGATCCACCTTTAGGACCCATTGCTGATGCATGAAGCGAAGGTCGGTGAATGGGCTGCTTCTACTGGGCTAATGAAGACGAGCATATGCCATACAGTGTGCTGTGAGGGATATGTTGCCCGGACAGCAAACACTACGGCCTACTTTTATATTGGTATATAATGAATACTGGTACCGTTGCTGGTGTAATAGTTTGACTCTGTATCTTCTACTGCATTCATTTAATTAAAAAAAAAAATAAAATACAAACTCCCCTCTCCCATTGATGTTTTTGGAGAGAAAACAAGTGAAAATGACGATGCAAGAAAATCAATGTTTTGAACTCTTATTACCATAAAGGCCCAGCCCATACTAAATAATTGAAGTCAAGAAAAGATATACATTGATATGCTTAAAGTGCCAGGAAATGTTATTTATGTGATGGAATATTTGAAATAAAGAATAGAATCAATTCAGAAGATAATGGTGTAAATATTGTTAACAAATTAAATTAATAAGATAAGACTCATGAGCAAATATCAAGATGTGGGTGAGGTTAAAGAAAATCCTGTTAGTAAATTTGGATGAATAAACAGCAAAGAATTGAATGAAATCAGCTGGACGCCAATCTCATACTGAGAATTCTCCACATCATTTATTTTATTTATTCACTAAGCAGCTTAATCGCTGAAGCATAAAATCTCTGAAAACATCAGACACCCTCACATGGGATTTGATGTCGACCAATCAGATACTAATTAACAAAATAGAAAACTTGTATGTGATTAGATTCCTCAAATGGTTTTATGAACGTCGATCATAATTAATTAAAGAAAATTCAGTATTATAGATTAATATGCAAAGAAAAAATAAATGACAATGGTGAATGTTGATTCTTTAGATTTTCTGGCTGACATAAGTTAAGTCCTGACCATGCCATCTTTAATTGAAATTGTCACTCTTATTACAGATCGACATGAATAGTTTTTCTTTTCTGATTTTTTTCTAATTTTGTAGAAAATAATGTTTTATTTTTATTAGTTACTAAAAAGATATTATTGTATCCTATTGTAAATAAATGATTTTGTTTAGTAATATTCATATTTCATCCACAGCTGAAAATGTTCTGCCTTGTTCAAACTACAGTAGACCAGAATATATCAACCATTCCAGTCCACAAGAAGGTGACGAAAAAAAAAAAAACATTTTAAAATTCATTTGGATGTTAATTGACTAGACCTCTTAATTTAAAGTAAACTTATCACTTTCAACAAGAAAATAAATGTAATTAAATAGCCTGAGTAAAAGTTGTGGTCTATTTAGAGTGAGGTAGGCCTATTTGTCAGGAGCTTGTGCGAAACTCTTTGGAAACCACAAAACAGTTTATACGATTTAAAAGTTCTATATAGTAAATAGTAAGTGCCGGGGTACTGCACCACACAGTAGTCAAATAGAAAAAAAACCTAACCGCCTGAAATATGGGCCTCTCGATCCATATTTGTGTGGATGTAAAATATGAAATAAATTTGCATGTCAAAAATCCATATATTACTAAATAACTTCCATTTCTCCATTTGCAGGTATGCCCTACCCATATGATGGAGCAATGAGATTTTTTTATCACGAAGATCCAAATTATTTCACTCATTTACGAGACAAGCATAAAGGTAGGTCTGGATTAAATTAAAACATTGAATTAAACATGGAGGTGGCAGGGTTGTTGCGAAAAAAAGAGTAAAAAAATTCATATAGTTTCTTAAAAATGCATTATTTAAGATACAGTTAAGGAACTAGCCATTCTTGCTACAATAGTTTAGAAATAGATAATTCAAAATGAGTTTATTGAAAATTTCAGCCCAATTACCTTATTCTGAGCAAAGTTAACAATGTTTGAAGTTTTGATGAGAAATAGTGCAAATGGTTTTAATTGTCAGTACCATTTCTATGATAATAAACAGTCTTGAAATTCCATTTTAACTTCGATATGGAAGACATTGTTTAATCCACTTATAGGTAATATCTAAGCCATCTGATAGTCTAGAGAGTTGATTATGGTCTTGTAATGTGAATAAATGTCTAAATAATAATTCATATAACATTTAAAGCCTGAAAAAGACCTGCAATAGTCAGATTTAGTTCTTACATAATGCATCTTTAAATTTCATTCACCTCCTTATATAAATATGCCCCTGGGTATTAGGGTTTTTACTATTAATAAAGACGAAATTTAATGTTTTGATCATTTTGTATTAACCGTGTTACCTTTGTGACGAGAAAACATGCGATGCCTTTGATAGCATTTACCTTCTCAATCACTAATTATTTGTCATTTGACCTGTCTTTTGTTCTGCCACAGAGATGAAGTCGTGAGATAAAACTCTTCTGTAACGATGGTCGACTTTGTATAATGGGAGCATCTATTGTTCTGTGTGATTTTATGATTTAGCTGTATCGGAGTAAATTCATTAATTATTAATCGTGGGTAATCAATGTGCTAAATGACTGATGGCTTGTCACAAAGGGAGGTAACTTGCCTCTCCAGGTGGTCACATCGTTGCTGTTATCTTTCAACCTTCTTCGCAATTATACAGAATACTGAGGAGCACAAGAGAGAAAAGTCATGTGACAAATTGAGATCGTATTTCTAATAATAGTTTCACAGTTTGAGAACAGTGGGATTGATGCATTTCAGAGTTGTTGAAATATGTTACGAAATGAATAATGAATGCGTGCAGTTAAACATTTCTTAGATTAGAGATGTGCTTTTGATCCTAGAACTAATGATGAAAAAAAAACATTGAAAGATTGATAAATGTCAAATTATTCAAGTCTTAATATCTGTGTTTCTATATATATATTGATTTATAGAATTAATAAAATAAGTAAAAGATATTTCCTAGAACTCAATCTGTAAATATTAAATATATATATATATAACTACAAAATATTAGCTTTGTGAACTTCCCATAAACAGCAGAAGTGGTATTAGATGTTTCATATAATGCGTAAGCAATACCCTGTCTTTTACATTCACAATATTTTTTAGTTGAAAACAAATAAATTATTACAGAAATGCCAATTCTTCCGGAAACGCCAATTCCTCCATTCATTTATTGATCATGTATTCATTTTTAACCTTTAAGTTGATCATCTTTGAATTCTGTAAAATTCTATTTAATTATTTTACAATTCCTTTCTTTTCCTTCCTTCACTCTTTCCTTCCTTTGCAAGTGCTTTCCTCCCACTGCTAAAGACCTCTATGTGCAAACAAATTATTACAATAATAATGGATCATATGTTAGTCAAAAAATGGACTATTTTGTGTCAAGTGGAATTAAACCACATATCTTTCTCTCCCTTCCAAGTATACATCATTCTCCTTTAATTGATTCCATCTTTCAGTTTGCTTGAACTATTCATAATTTAAATTTTCTCTTTTTTTTTTTTTAATTGTTCTTTCTTTGTTCATCCAATTATCAATACCTTTCATTCATTCTTTTATCCATTCGTCCATTAATTCATTCTTTTTTCAGTGTGTTGAGTTATTGTTTGTCTGGTGTTGTCTGTCTGTATTTAATAACACAATCCAGTTTTAAACCTTTGATGTCCATTTCACGCTTAATACTCTACCCTTCCATCATCCAAGATGACTTTTCATTAGCTGAATAAATTCCCTGATAATTAGCTTGAACCTAATCATAGCTCCCTCTAATTGAGTCTTATTGACAATGAATTACTGACGCCATAATACCCAAGACATTCAGTGTCTTGTTCCTGTCATCGTTGACAATTGTCGAGTGCTTGATCTAGGCCACTGTCAAACTTCAGGGATAAATTTTTCTCTGTCTGCATGTCATTTTATTTCATAATTCTTAACTGGTAGCGATTATCTTTTCAAATTTTTTCTCCTACAAATACAATGGTGTTCATAATTCTTTTGTGAATAAGTAACTAATGAGTATTTTTTTCTATAGCATAATAGATATATCATTTTGAATGGTTAGCCATGCGAAATTGTGCAGATTGAATTTAAAAAATCATCTGATATTTTATGACGTAAAAAAGGAAAGAAAATCAGCAACTGTTGAGTAATTTTAAAGACAAATTTCTTGTTGTTAGGAAATCGGAAGATAAATCTTCATGCAAACCGGGACATTAAGAGGATTGTTGGGAATTTAATCGTCGTGGAAGATATATAATTTAGCAAACCTAATGATCCATGATGACAATTCTGTCTCTTTCACTTAAACTATGATATTATATATGAATTCTTCACATGATGTCATCATTTATCACTACCATATACGGTCATGAATAATTGATGCGGCCAATTTGAGTCGATAACGAGAGTTAACAAGATGGCACGTTATAAATGTGTCATGCCATGTGACAATTATGGTATATTTTATTTGTCGTTTTATTACGTTTATCCTCCATAAATCCACTCATTTTCAACTTTTTACTGTGATAAATTTATAGTGAATGACTAATAAATTATTTTGTGGCGGAATAATAACCTATTGTTAATAATTAAAATACTGTAATTATTGAAGCCATATTTAATAAATAATGGTAAGTCATCCCTAAAAATTGCACAGTTCTTATGAAGTTATTGTACAATAAAGTATTAGAGTATTAAATGGACACAATAATGTGTAATTGAAGCTAAACTGCTAAGAAATTACATTTGTTTTGCATGAAACTGCTGTGAACATCACAGAGAACATGGTTTAAAATGGGATGAAATGAAATAAATAATGATTCTTTTTAATCTGTACACTACTCTGGGCATGATATCTGTCTTGTGGCTGTCCATTTTGAAGACTCGTGTAGCTATAGGACTATAGTGTATGTTTTCCATTTGAATCTGGACTATGATGCATCTGAATTTGAGGATTGTGAGGCAGCTCTTGCTATTAAAGACCTTGCTGCATTCCTTTGTTTTGAAGACTGGTGCAGCTCTTTGACTACATGACAATATAGTGTATCTCTTCCATTTGAATACATATGTGTCTCTCTGTCTTGAGGATTGTTGTGCAGCTCTTCCTCTCCATAATATTAAGCAGCTATTTATATAAGTGGTGCATCTTTATTTTTTGGGGATTTTGTGCATATTTTATCTTGGTGGTGCACATATTTGTAGTGAAGGTTTATGGTGCACTTACTCATCTTGGTAGCCTGTCACATGTTTGTCTTTCAGACCATTGTAATCTTTCTGGTGTCATGCATCTATGTCACTTGGAATTTAGTGCATCCCCATGATTTAAAAATTTATTTGTAGTATTACATTTTTCTAATGAAGGCTATGGTGTATCTTTTTGCCTTTAGTACCATGGTGTAACTCTTTAAAACCCATATGCACTGACCTTTAGGTACCAGCTACTATTCATAGCCAAAGTGCATCTTCATACCAAAGGGAACTTCTCCGTCATTTGAGCTATTGTGCACATCTTTCTCTTTAAGGTCTTCTAGTATATCATCATCTTCATATCTTTGGTGTACCGCTTTATATTTAGTACTGTGGTAATACTTCATTTTAAGCCCTTCAATGGGCACAGAACACCTTCACATTCAAAGACATTTGAGCTGGTTTTTCTACTTTAGTTCGTTTGTTTAAACAATTCAATTCTGTGAACTGATCCTGGATTGTTGATCGGAGTGAAAGGGGTCATATTTCTTGAGGAAAAGGTTTGGTTTGTCAAATGCACCTTTTTTAGTATTTATTCAAAGTTATTTTACTGAGATAACCTGTAGAATTATTTGAAGCTTGACATCAGTATGACACACTACTATTGAATTTTCTTGATATAATATTGACACTTGAGTCTATTATCCAGTCTCCAAAAACACACATAAATCTTTATCTCATGTCACACTCATTATAAATAAAGACAGGATAATGGAGACTTAATTTGCTGTAAAGCTAATTATTATCCAGTGAGTGTTAATTTTCCTATCAATCTAATAACGTAATGGTGGGTTACTATGACGGGTTGCGATACTCATCTGATGAGATCTTGTCATGCTATTGATATCCATAAAGACGCTGTGTTGCCATTATAACTAGTCCAAATCTGTTCATCTGACAAAAATCTGACCTAGAAACGAACTGAAGAGTTAAAAAAAAATCAGAGAGAAATGGTGTTTTAATGTCCATTTGACACTAACACTAACCAGATCATTTTTGGGACTAACACATGGTCCACATTTTAATAATATGCTTGGATGTAGGAGTCTTTAGTAGTGAGAGGACCCTGAGAAACCCATGAAGTTAAACAGACGACCTTACTACTTCTGATGCCCTAATGATCTAATACTTGCACGTTGAACAACTCAGCCCCCTTGCACCACAATAATAAATAAGTGGACAGACGACCTTACTACTTCTGATGCCCTAATGATTTAAAACTTGTACGTTGAACAACTCAGGGCCCCTTGCACCACAATAATAAATAAGTGGAACACTAAATTACATCAATGCGTGTGTGAAATATAAACAAATATTTAGCAGGACAGCAGTTGAATTGCAACTAACCTGAGATATCTACCTTGATTTCTTCGCTTGACATGTATCAAAATGTTGTTGAAATCAATAAGAACAACCTCTAGTCAGTCCTAATTAAGATTTTGTAGGCTGTAAGCTTCAGGTATTGTGAGGACTGCTCAGTAATATTTTCCAAACCATATGTTGAAATAATTTTAGTTATATTTTTTAAAATACTATATGCTGGGTATATAAGGACAAACACGATATTTTTGTTTATGTATAAAACAATTTAATAACAGGCGCGTCTAAACAGACACAGAATCTTCATAATGTGCTTGGGATATACATGTAAGAATGAGGCCGATGTAAAATCTGAAAAACAATATCTGAATGACCAAATTATAAACAAATCAAAAAGATCAAACCCACTCCAAAAAACAATTGTAAAGTACTATGTTTTCATAAGAATATATTTCTAGAAATCTAATCAATTCTTACAGAGAATTGTTTGGGATAAAGGTAATTTTCGCAAAAGAAATTGAGCCTGCGAGGTATGAAATGAGGTTGGAAATCTATTCTTGAGTTAAATTGTATGCATTTTAAGAATGCTGAGTAGTATCAAAACCCCTCGAAAGACATATTCACAGGCATCTTAGTATTTAAATAAATATCACCTCATGTATATGAATCAGTCAGGTTTCAGAACACCAAACTCTTATCTTACAGCCCTAACTCACATTATGGAAAATATATATGATGCTATAAATAATCTTCTTTGTGGCACAATATTTTTTTACTTCAAAAAAGCATTTGATCTGGTCAGTTATAATATTTTATTGACGAACTGCAGATATTTTAAATTTTCTCAAAATGCATTACAATTCTTAGAATCCTACCTAAAAAAACAAAAACCAGTGTACTTTCGTTCATGGTGAACTATCTGATTTGAAGCCTACTCACTATGGCATACCTCAAGGATCGATATTAGGACCCTTCTTGTTCAGTATTTTCATTAATGACTTGCTATTAAATCTCTCTTCCAAAACTGACCTCTTTGCTAATGATACGACAATCTACACGACTGGCCCAATCACTGAAGTTCTCCAAACAAAACTACAGCTTGATGCCGACAGAATACAAGCCTGATGTAACAAAAACGGAATGAAACTCAATACAACAAAAACGAAAGCAACTTTCTCCTCACTACTCTCGATATTGAACTTGACAATGAATCAATAGAAGTAGTCTCATCCTTTAAACTTTTAGGTGTCATTTTAAATCATAATTTAACTTGGAAAGACCATATTCAATATGTCTCTAAAATATTAAATCAGAAACTTTTCCTTCTCCGTAAGATTAAACAATATCTCCCTCTCTCCTACTGCACTCTTTTTTATAATGCTCATATTCAGACACATTTTGATTACTGTTCTCCAATCTGGGACTCCTGTGACTACAAATCTCTTGAATGTTTTTCTAGATGACATGTCATGGCTTTTAAACTACTGCTTGAATGTTTTTCTAGATGACATGTCATGGCTTTTAAACTACTGCTTAATTTCAATCATACCGATGAACTGTACCCAACAATAAATACCTTAAAACTTTTAACAATATAAACCCATCATGCCTACAGTTTATGTAACTTTATTTTCAAAATTTTATCTAAGCAATATCCTGATTATCTGTTCAATCTTTTGTCTTTCTATGAAACTCTCTACACCAACATTAAAAACAGACTAATCACTCTACGACCAAAACTTAATATTGTAAAAAAAAACAGCATCCGTTTTAAAGGCACAAACCTATGGGATTCTTTACCATCTTACTTAAAACTGACTTCTAACTTAAATTCTTTCAAGAAACAACTTTTTAAATATCTTACTATCAAAGAATGGTACTGGTACCCTCTATGCCCATATATGTATAGGTAATTTTTCCTTGTTTCACATATACCTTTTGCTATTGTAAGTATGTAAGTTATTTGTTTTATTAATATTATGTGTTATTACATCTCTCTTTTGGTACTGTCATTTTTTGTATTTTAAATTCATCCTGATTATCTTATACTCTTGTTCATCCTTCTCTTTTATTTGTTATGCAATCATTTTTTGTATTATATTTTTTTCATGAAGGGCAGGATGGTAGAAAGGCTTCTACAGCCTAATACTCTACCATTCTTAAAGTTATTATTATTATTATTATTATTATTAGACAAAATAAAACAGTGGTTTAAGAAAACAACAAATCAAAGAATAAGAAACAAGAAAAACAAAACAAAAAACGACAAAACACAACCAAGGAAAAAATGAGAAACAACAGAAAACAACAAAACAAAAACTGAGAAACAACAGAAAACCAAAAATAAGAAACAACAGAAAAAAAAAAAAAAAAATTAAGAAACAACAAAATAAAACACAACAGAAAACAAAACACAACAGAAAACCAACAAAACAAAAAGAAAATTATTCATATAGGGTACTTAATGTTTGATTCATAAAATTTGAAAAAATAAATATCAATTAAATTCTAGAACAAACAGTTGATATCGTATATCCCTAGCAGAGAAGGAAACTTTGGAACTTAATTTTTTATTTTGTCTTGTGAACTCAATCTCACCGCTAACAACTAATTAATACCCTCGTTGTCATTTGATCTAGCCATGGTAACATAATCCACCAATCAACAATCAGATACCGAGTCAAACAAGGGGAATTAGACATGTTAGAGATTCGGGCGAGAATTTTTATGGCTTCATTAAACGTCGTAAGATGCAACACAACAATGGAGAAGAGCGACGAAGGCTTGTCAATAGTTTGCATGTCGGTTATTGAAGTAGCGTTGATTGCCATATTTTGTTTTAGTTGGGTTTCACGTAAAAGATGTTTGTATTGTTGAAGTAGTTGTAATCAGTGAATAAAGAGATTAAAGAATCCTCCCAACAGATGTGTTGTTTGATTAAATACTGCTTCAACAAGGAATTATAACATAGATACACGATTTCAATTAAATTTCTGGCTGAGCCATGGAATCAAGAAATAAAAATTCAGCATGATCCTTTAAATGGTAATTACACCCTGCTTTTAAAGTGACTGATTAAATACTGAGTCAACTAGAAATTATAACATAGATACACACTTTAAATCAAATTTTTAATTTTCTGCCTCAGTCACGGCATCAGGAAATCAAAGTACACCATGAGCCTTAAACTGTGATTATAACAAAGATATACACTTTTTAAAGTCACTAATTGATATGGGGGTTGTTGAATCAGTTGGATGGCCGAATGGTTAGCATCTGCATGCTGTATCATAAGGTCTGTCATTGTGTCAACTGGCTTAGTTTTGATTCCCTGGTTGTACGTGACAAGGAGTAGGGTCGCCTGTCCAACCTCATGGGTTTCTTCCGGATCCTCCGGTTTCCTTCCACAGCTAAAGACATCTACACGCAAGCGAATTATTGATATAAAATTGAACCATGTGTTAGTCCCAAAATGACCTAGTTTGTGTCAAGTGGACATTAAACCTCATTTCTCTCTCTTTCTAAATCAGTAAATCATAAAATAGGAATTCCTTTTATTTCATCCTAAATTATAAAGGCATATTACCAGAAAAATCCCTAGTTTAGTCAGATTACATTAAAGGGGAAGTACACATTTCTTGGCGCCTCCAGAAAAAAAAGTGTGTTTATGCATAGGCTACAAATTAAATTGTGGAGATATTAACCAAACAGCATGTGGAAAAGTTTCAGCTTAAAATATTTAGCTGATGGGATTTGCTTAATTGGGTTATGTATCTTAAATTTAAGAAATTGTATCAACTGCAATGGTATGAGTGATGGTTATTGTGACGATAACTCTTGCGGAATAACATAGATTTCAGGAACTTATTGCCAATCCCATAAAGAAACTGACTGTTAGCATTTCTGCGAAAAGTACCACAGAGTTTTACATAGTTAAATAGGTAAAAAAATAAATAGGTCAAAGATAAATGTTCCTAACAGTTTTCCACACAGAATTAACACCTTTGATTCACTAATCAGGGTTGGTTAGTTTAAACATATTTTATTGACAAATATCAAAAGGATTGAGCACAAGTTTCAAAAACTTAGAAAAGCCCTTTCCATACATACAAATGATAGACAAAATTTAATACAAACAAGATTGCGAAATAGTATATAGAATAATAAATAATTTATAAGTAATATAAGTAAAGTCAGATGAATTATATCGCGGGTGCGGAAAAAAAAAAAAAAATGTTATCCACCAAAAAAGCTATAGCTAATAATTTATTCTAAGATGTAACTACTAATCAGGGTTGGTTTCTTTAAGAGTGATTCCTACTGATTATAAATTAATGATAACTCCAGCCTTCCGTGTGTTTCAGTCAGATATCTCAGCCATATCATCTTTATTAAAAATCTGAGTGATTCCTAGATCTGTTTATTCTGTAAAAAAAATTTTGATGTTTATAAAATTTAATATCTTTCAGGAATGGAAATGAAAGGTGATTTTTACCGTGATTTTTACCTGGAGAGATATCATCGTGAAGCTCCACCACCTACGTACCAGCGGAGAGGATCATTACAACTGTGGCAGTTTCTAGTCACATTGTTGGATGATCCCACAAATTCTGCATTTATCGCTTGGACAGGACGCGGGTTGGAATTTAAACTCATTGAACCAGAAGAGGTTTGTTCAACACTTAATCGTTTTTTACACACTTAATGAGAATTTAAATTAATTTGTGAAGTAATTAAGTGGGCAGGTCAAAGAATATTATAATCACTATTCTTCCAGTGTACTTTTGCATAAAAAGGAATGATACAGCACTAAACTTCTAGAATATTTATATATATATGGCGATAATATTTTTCAGGTTGCTCGTCGATGGGGCATGCAGAAAAATCGACCCGCCATGAACTACGATAAATTAAGTCGATCATTACGATACTACTACGAGAAAGGAATAATGCAGAAGGTCGCGGGGGAAAGATATGTGTATAAATTTGTGTGTGATCCCGAAGCATTGTTTTCTATGGCATTTCCGGACAATCACCGTCCCATTCTCAAAGGTGATCCGCAAAAAGAAGACTTCTTTAAACCAGTAGCTCCGCAGCAAGATAAACCATTGTCATTGACAACTTCTCAAGCTTTTATTCCGACCAATCGTAGAAACTTTAACTTGCCACCTCATCCTCATACTAACCCTGCTGCCATGACAACAGATCAACATCGTTTACAGTATATGCAGGAAGTTCAGCGTATGTATGGACCAGGACCGTATATGGAAGGTTGTGTTTACTGACTGTAGATTATATTTGAGAATTATTTAAATATTGTACATAAAAACTTAATAATTACATGTACAGATATATTTAAATCACATAGTATAAAGTCTGACATCTGACTAATAATTAGTACCCTCTATATTGTGATTTGGGCGGGGGGGGGGGGGATCTTTATTTAAAGAAATAAGCTTACAGACTTTCTTCAGTCTATTTCCTGACCCATATCAAAATCATGTGGTACACTTAATGCTTTGGAGTTCTGCTATATATTGCCAATGCTAAAATTTGAACAGTTTCACTCATACAGGCCATGATTATTATAGTTTTTCCCCTGTATGTTTAGATGTCAGACTTTACGTGTACATGTACAGACTAGTATTTATGGCTTTTTAATTTAATATCAAGTATGGTATAAGTTAAGGCCAAAACTGTGGAGTAATTTTATTTCTGGTATTGTAGACAGGATTACCATATAGATATATAATGCTATACACAGGAAAAAAGATATTTCATATAGCTCACTTTTTAGTATCATCTGTACAGCTCCGATAACCTTATGTAATTCTATTTCATATTCTATAATAGGTTAAATGTTTAAGTTAAGTAAAACAATTTTCTCTATGTAACTAAAATCAGTATATTAATAAGTCTTTAGTTGCCATTGTTTGAAAAACATTGACAATCAAAAACATTTTTTAACATGGCCCTGTATACCACTATTTAATATAGTCATTAAATTCTTGGCCAATATGACTGCCAAACAGTTGGTTTAAATCCATTTACAAGCCTTTAAAACATTTTAAAGCTATATTTTTCCATGATAAATAGATTAACATTGAATGTGTGAAAGACCAGAAATATAATTATGAAACTATGATCAATTTCATTTTATATTTTAAAGAAAATTGTAAATAACATCAATACCTTAGTTAATGTCTCAAGTATGATTATTAATTTGGAGTGACTTTTTTAAATTATATGTATGATGTATGTTTTTTTGATGCCTCTGTATCGTCTATAACATAGTTTTCTGTTCTGCCATTCTCAATGACATTATTGATGGTAGCTGTTGAACAGTCAACATTACACCTCAAATTTTTTTTCTTCATACGAGGTATCAAGGATGATCTCGACAGTATAGGCTGCAACAGCCAGTCTTAGTTTTGTTACAAATAGTTTCTATTTTTCAGTTAACTGTGTCAAAATGTCTCACAGGGCCGGATTAAGACTTTTAGTGGCCCTAAGCACTGAAAAGATTATGCTGCCCCCACCCCCCCATATGTAATTCAAAATAAAAACAATACTAAAACGTAAATATATGCTAATATTGAAATAACTTTTCCCTAGATTTTTTGATCGCAAAATTCCGGATTATGTCATTTATGTAGGGGTCTCTTCTGGTGAGTTCTGGTTCATTTGCACCATGGTAAATTCTGCACTTGGAAAAGATCCGGTCGAGTCCCCTTTTTTCCCTTGGTACTTCAAGCATGTTCTTATTTTGTTTAATTGTTAATCCAAGGCTACTGTCTCATTGGAGTTCTGTTACTAGATATTCGTCAATATTAATAACATTATTTTATTACATATTTTGCTGGTAGAATTCTATCTAGTTGATATGTTTTAAGTTAGTTTACTAGTTATTTATTACTAGTATTTTGATTCAGACGATTCAGATATTTTAAGTTCTTTAACTTGCTCTGTAGTAGTATTCTCATCCAGTTGCTATTATCATCTAGTCAATGTTTTAAGTTATTTTACTAAATATATTTACTACTATATAATCTAGCTGATACTATATGTTATTTAAGTTATTTTACTAGTATTATGATCAAGTGCATATTTCAAGATAGTTTACTAGATATTTACTAGTATGATCTACTGGATATATCTAAAGTATTTTACAAGATAGTTACTATAATACTATCTAGATATGATATATGATAAGCTATTTTACTGTAATATTATCTAGATATGTTATATGATAAGTTATTTTATTAGTATTATGATACAAAATATGAAGTTCGTTTACTAGACATACTAGTAATATTATCTAGTTGATATCAGAAGTTATTTTCAAGTTGTATATATTTTAAGTTATTTTACAACATGTTTATTAGTAGTATAATGATCTAGTCAATATTTTTATTTATGAATATGTTTTTAGTTATTTTATTTACTTTATTTGAGTGCTAATTTTCTTGACCTAATTACCAAATTTATTGTTAATAATTTAAGAATACACAAACATTTAAATACATCATCTACAGGTCTTAAAGCAGTATTGACCTAAATATATAGTTTCTGAAAGTGTACATAGTAAAATGAGGATAAAAACAAATTACAGGCATGTCAAAATACTTTCCAGTAAATCCTCAAGATGCCCACTATTATCAGAATGCCATATTATTTTCTCAAATTCTTTGCCAGTGTCCAAGAGAGCAAAATGGGGTTTAATCTTTAATGTCCAATCAACACAACTAACATTGCCAGTGTGAAATGATCCCGATCTTCTGCATTTGGGCAACAGTTATGTTTATGTGTAAAACTATAAAGCAAATAACCAAATAAAAGCAACACAAATTTGAACTTGTAAGTGTAACATCTCTTTCCTGATGTGTTCGAAAAGCCAATTAAACACATTTATAATAATAAAAAGACATATTTAACAAAACTAAGATGTTAATTCAAAATGTCCCTGAAGTAGCCAGAAACCTCAACTTTCAATGTACCATGGACAATATCTGAAATGACTCCATCCATTTGACTATCAAAAAAGCCATGTATCTTTGGAGAGAGAGAGAAATGGGATTTAACTCCACTCAACACAAACTAGGTCATTTCGGTACTAACACATGGTTAAATTTTATTTCAATCATTCGCTTGCACGTAGGGGTCTTTAGCAGTGGGAGGAAACCAGAGGACCCGGAGAAAATCACGAGGTTGGACAGGCGACCCTACTCCTTGTCACATACAACCGGGGAATTGAAACCCTGCCAGTTGACTCAACGATAGACCGAATGATACAGCGCGCACATGCTAATCATTCGGCCATCCAACCCCGTCTATGTATCATTGGAGACGGTGTCCTATCTCTGGTACAGGTCTTATCATGACATCAATACCTTTCAACAGTAATATACTTCATTAAATTACATCAAGAGATTTTGTTTTTGCTTCTGATCAGTTTTGGGTGATGATTACAGATTACTATATCGATCTTATGTAATTGTAAAATATAAAGATCTATTTATAAAAAACTAATCTGTTAATTGTTTTACTTTTATCTGTAAATTGTAATTTTTGTTGAAATAAAAAAAAATATTTAAAAATTTATGATGTTTGTAAATGGTTTGGAGTCATTGATGTGAAAATTGTTTGTTTGTCCCTCACCTTTCGAAGAAAGCAGGGGACTGTTAAAATGATTTGTCGGTAAGAATATTGGAACTTGGTTCATTAGGTGAATGTTCGGACTGAATGCTGACTGAATGTTAATACTTATTTTCTGATTAAACTAAGGAGATGCTCGATGTCTAGAACTTTCTGAATTGACAAAAATGCAATCAAGTGACACGGAATTCAGTGCCTTCCGTCATATGTCAGTCCCGATAACTGGGGTAGTGAGTAGCATCGTTATGTAATTAATCAGAGTGAATATGTTTCAGCTGTCATGGTTGGTTGAAATATTTTCTTATTCAGTCAACACATACATAACCTGAAATTCTCTTTTATACTGGATTGCCACTATTTGGGGGAATTGAGAGAATTTGATTCCGGGATATTCAATTGAGTATATGACTGGGTGAGAGTGATGTGGCATGCAACGCAGCATTTTTTGTACACTTGCAGTAACTGTTACATATACTATTCAAAAAAAGTAGGGGATATTTGATTTTGGGGGCATAATACTAAAATATGCAAATGACTACGATCATTTGGAATAAATCGATGAATGTGAACTTCATTTCATTTTGTCATTTGTTTCTTCGTCAGTTTCATTAGGTGACTTTAATAACACTTAAAAATCAAATATCCCCTACTTTTTTTGAATAGTATATATAGACATGTTATCTGGGTATCAAAACAACAGATGCAGATAATCTGATATGAATATTCCCAGTTTAATAGTATCATAAAAATTGTTTAATTAACTGGTCCTCTATCACTTGCCATTGGTTACATTCCGATATTATCCTGTCAGGATTGACTTGTCATGATTGACATTTATGTGGTTTTGATTGCAATAAATTCATACCTAGGTTCCTTATCCTACTTTAAAAAATGTCAGTCTGAGTCGAGTCATGGGTAAATGTGACATGACCTAATTCGTGTTAATTTTTAACAAACATGATGACAAAGCAATAATGTAGTAATCTAGAGAGAGAAATGGGGTTTAATGTCCACTCGACACAAATTAGGTCATTTCGGTACTAACATGGTTTTAATTTTATTTCAATAATTCGCTTGTGCGTAGGGGTCTTTAGCAGTGGGAGGAAACCGGAGAAAACCTGCGAGGTTGGACAGGCGACCCTACTCCTTGTCATGTACAACCCGGGATTCGAAACCACAGCCAGTTGACTCAATGACAGGCTTTATGATACAGCGCACATGCTATCGGCCATCCAACCCCCCCAATAATGTAGTAAAACTTGACAAATTCATTATGAAATAATTTTTTATTATTAAATATATCATTGAAACTTTTTATTTACAAACAATTTAAATACAGTTATATTTATTGCACAATATACAAAAAGCTTTCAAAACTACATCTAGACTTGAATATCATCAATAAACTAGGATCTTACTATTACATGGATAAGAGGGATTTCAAAAATATTGTAGTCTCTCGACAGACACCAAACTCAGTGATCTAATTAAGCCCATTATCATGACCTAATGTATTTTTTGAGCATCATCTTAGTATAATAACAGTCTATATAAGTCAGCTTTAAGTCCATACATTATTGTTACAATAGCAGTTTATAAGTCCTATCAATGCTATTACAATGATCTATAAGTCCTATCAATGCTATTACACTGATCTATATCACACCGTTGCAACTCAGGCCCCAGCTTCTCAAAGCATTCTCTGATTTATGATAAGAATTTACTTAACTTTCAATCACTGTTTATGAGAAATATCTTTGATCCAAAAACATAAATAGTTGCACTTAGGTTCTTATTGATGTACATTAAAACAACAAAAGTTTTATAAAGGGCTATATTTTAGTTAAAATAAGTCAAACGATTTTAAATAAATTCTTAGCTTAAGCCTGAGAATGTTTTGTGAAACCAGGGCCACAGCCAATTAATCATACCAAAGAGAAATGATGTTCTAAATGAGCGGTCTTGACCCAGATACATTTGTATTAGAAGGCGCCCTCCATTTATAACCCCCATAGATTGTTCTACGCTTCTTATACAACCTACTTTTATCATTATTTGGCTATAATACTTTACTGCAATTGTTCTTTAAAAATCAAAAGCAGACTTGAAATCTAATTTTCAATGTGTTCATAATTTACATATGGCTATTTGGTGATAAATTATTTACAATACATGTTTTGGAATCATCTTCAAATTAACAATATATGCATTACAATAACAAAAACATAACAAAACAATCACTTGAAATCATTGCATGATCAGATACTTCATCTGAAGATCACAAAAACAAGAACCCATGGGTTTAGTTAGGCTATCAATATATTAATAATTTCTCTGTCTATAACAACATGTCTATACCAGCCTGTTCTTGTTGCTAAGCAAATTTGCATAGATACCTAAAAGCCAACATTCCTGCAAAATAATGTTTTAGTCCTAATAAGAAAATGTCCATATTTTCCTCTATGGATCAACTTCATTTGAACATTAAATATTCCCCATGCAGGCAACCAAATTTGATTGTTTTCCATCATGTGGTCTGGGAGAAAATGTGTCAACAGGTGTGACATAATCTGACAGGCTAAATAAAGTGTCTATCTTTATCTTGTTTGTTAAATATCCCGAGTATTTGGAGTGTTCTGTACCCAGAAATGATGAGTTGATTGGAACATTGAAAGCAACAAATCTGTCTTCATACAAAATATTTGTTTAAATGTCTTCCTCCCAACTTTGGTTATTTTTTAGTGTTTAACCTAATTTTATAATCTCTAATAGTCTCTATCAGTTGTTTATTATTTGATTGGATTGCTTTACTTAAGACAATGTTTAAAGAATCTTCATTCCGTGATTCCAGGGCTGAATCCGCTGCTTCTTTTAAATTTCTGAAATATATTGAATACAAAATTAAGTAACAAAAAAATTTAACAAATCTGTACAATTCATCGCTATATTCCTCAAATAATTAATTTTTTTATTTTTCAACAGAATTCTTGTCAAACTAATTATTCACTTAAGTTTGGCCTTGATCTGCCTTCATTAGCCCCGTTGATGCAAAAAATTTCAAATCGCATTTCATTTCCTTTTTGTCCTTGGATATGGATGATTGAACCTGTGAAGATGGCAGATCTGTGAATATTGAATAACGAAAAATCTTTGTTTATTTTGGGATTAGCATACAGTTAATTCCCTTACTATGGCCAAATGTAAGAATTTTTGCCAACACAACAACAGCATTTCCACTTATGGTTACTCTTCTTCAAATGCTAATTGTCAGGTGTTGTTTTTATGTGCACACCCATGTCACAAAATGGACACCCCAACTCAATGCCTAGGCAATATTTTCCTATTCAGTCCTGTAGGTGGTACCTCTTACAGTGGGAATCAAACCAGACTTGAAAATTACTGAACCCAAGATATTCAAATCAAAAACAACTGGTGCCCACATAAATGGACAGAAATCATAGAAAGTAATAATAAAACCAGTAATCCTCAACTTACCCAACTTTAACAAGACATTTAACTTTTTGATCAGGTGTAACTCTATTAACATATTTCATGGCTTCTGTACGATTATAGTATTTCATACAAACATCAACAAATGCCTGCAACAACAAATAACAGTCACTACTCTTTATTGAATCTGAATTTATAAGGGATCTTTTATGTAAGATGTAACTTGTTTTTTGTTTCATACCATCAAACAATAAGGCACACATCCTTGATGGCCCCACAGTGCATGTATCACAGTGCTGATAAAAGATGAGGTGTGAGAAGAATCATGCAGTAATTAAACATAATCAATCAATCAAACATCATGCAGTAATCAATCATGCCTTGTCGCCCCAAATTCTTCTGGTTATCTAATTGATAACCTTTCACAAGATTGAGATTAATTTATTTATTAAACATTTAAACTATTATCTGCATTGAGAGAGAGAGAGATGGGGTTTAAGGACGTCCACTCGACACAAAGTAGACTGGACAGGTGACCCTACTACTACAAGGGGGGAATCGAAACCACGTTACTTGACTAAATGACAGACCATATAATCTAACGTGTAGGCGTAAACAATTCGGCCAACCAAACCCCCATTGAATCAGACCCAATTGATTAGAAATATGTAGGATAAATTTTCTACCTCCATTCCGACAGGTGGTTTTTTAGATTTCGAGAATCGTTCAAGTTCCGTCCAATCGCTAGATTCAGCTAAAGCTTCCATTCTTAACAACCAAAATCTACAAGAAAGGCAAAAAACAAGATTCAGAAATAAATACATAAACTTGAAAACATTAGGTTAATTAATAGACATGTCATTTTTATTTGTGACTGGATAACTGTGGACAGATCATATTCTTTTTTTCATATTTACTACAAACCAGTCATCAAATGGCTATTAGGTAAAATTACAAAATTAAAAATTGATAAAGGGGGATAACTCCATTAAAATACTTCACAAATAAAATATTCGCTTTGTCACCTTACCTTTTATCAGGCACTTTAAAATCTTTACGCAGTTGTTCTGTCATCTTGTGGTTACCATTTTGTGTTAATTTATACATTGTATCATGTAAACTCATATCTATATATGTCTTATTCGACTCATCTTCTAGTTTACGTTGGATTTTTAATAACTTTATTTGATCTTCAGTTTGCTGGAATAAATACAATAAGACTAATATAATTGAAGAAATGAAGCTGGATTCTTTAATAATAATAACCCAAATAATATCATTTTGAGCGATATAAAATCACATCTAAAAAGTTAAAAGACCACGAACTGCTGTATTAGTCTATATTTTAAATAAGAAAAGGCTCAATGTTATTGTTTACTATACATCTTTTCTTCCTCAATATTTCAACACATCATTTGGTCATGAAATTATTGAGATCTAACCAGGGGCATCATAATTACAACTTGTGATAGGCATACCTTAACAAATTAATTTCTTATTTTACACTAACTAAGTTAAACATAACAAAGACATGAGTTTGTCACTTATTCATCAGCATCTCAGTATGTTACTTATTTACATCTCATCTTATCAAAGATCAAAACATCTATAAATATTTTTCGCAAAACTATAATTTTGAATTATGAAGGGACATAGGAAAACTGTACAAAGCTTACTCGGGTAAAGTTTTGTAAGTAAATTGTTGGGCATTTATCTATTAAAGTTAGCTATAATAACACCGATCATGGCAATTTTCCCCCATAAATTTGTTGGAATAAATTTCTTATTCATCTCAATACTCAGTAACTTTTACAATAAATATGTTTGAAGTGATCAGCAGCAAGAGCAAAAATTCCAAATCAGACATTTTTTCAATGATAAGCCATTATTATATATTATTTTTGCATCTGTTTGTCTTTACTTACCTTACTAGCAAATTCCATTTTTGCTTTTTGGTAACATGTGATGGCTGCTTCTAGTTTCCTTATTCTATCTTCAAACATCTTAAAATAAAGAGACATAATTTGCTACACTTGTAAACTTTAGCATTCAAGAGGTATTTAGTTGTCAGGATATTATATATAAGAAACACCAGACTCAAAGGAACATCAGTTATGATTTTATAGATATGTCAATATTGATATTAAATAACATCAAAATGATTATGATTGAGGAAAGTAGTTGTGTGTCAGTAAAATAACAAAAAGCAGAATAGAGACCTAAAAAAGCTTCACACTTTTTAAAACTTGCCATCAACATGTAAACAGAGACTAATAAACATGAATTTCATGGGGAGTTCTGCTGTATTAGTTTGTTTTATTCATGAGGTCAAACACCTCATTCTTTCACACGCAACTAAGAATTTCATTTAAAAACTAAAATTCAGTGAGAGATTGAGTATAACTAATTTAAAATAATAAATGAAGAAATCACTATTGTTCTGTCTCTATAATCTAATAGACTTTTTGAAGATATCTATTATCTTCATTCAATAAGCAAATGTAATAGTGAGTTGCAACTATAGATCACCCATATCCATATACATTTATACATTATAGATAATTAAATTTAAGAAGACTTATCTAGTTCATAGGACTATAATGAAACTATCAAAAATAAATCAGGGAAAAACCCCTGGGACAGAATTATGCAGTGTTTAATAGTTCAACATGACAACAATACACATTTTAAAAGCATTCAAAGTGCAAGACAACTAAACTTTAATGCCCTTGGTCTCATAAATTACCTCTTCACTGTAACTTGATACAACTTTACAATTTCCTTCTGCTAAAAAATTATCTTCTTGATAATATAAATCTTCTACTAGTTTAGGATTCTGTTGACGACAATACTGAAATATATAGTAAACACTTCATTAACACTATTGTTTAATAAATAATAAAGAGCTTTGATTGATAGTTGGAATTGGATGAATTGTAGGTGGAAGTTGTTAAACATACATCATGCAAGAGCTAAATCTACCTATTGGAGGTCTTTTTTAGGCCTGAAATGTTGTCTAAGTTATTAATTAGACATTAATTAACTTATCCAGACCATAATTAACTCTTGACGTCATCGCTAGCCTGCGATATTTACTGGATTGGAATCTGATTTGCTGCTCAACTTTCATTCATGATTAAATCATGAAATAATCGAGACTATGTTTTTTATCGTACCAAAAATTCAATCGCTAAATTCACGGTTCAGAGTGGATCAATTTGACTGAAATTTTCAGCAAATTCCTTTTACATTATCTAGTTTTTAACTATCATAGTGAGAACTGTCAGCCCTTTATCTAATCTCCCATAATATATCTTTAAGGTTAAATTATGCTCCCTCACTTTTCAAACATGACCATGTAATAACTATGTGTTAGTCTCAAGATGACCAAAGTATTTCCTTTCTGTCTTCAGTTCTGAATAAATTAAACTTGAAGAATACAAAAATTTCACTGTTCACTGCCAATAAATATACCAACTATAACTTACCTGTATATAAAGTGAATAAGCTATAGGCATTTGTCGTATTGCCATAAAAAATTCTCCCATATTGGATATTTTATCTTTCATTGTTAATAAAACAGTATAAACTGAAACAAAAATATAAAGAAACACATTTTTAAATTTAAAATAAAAATTCTATGAATAACATGAACAGATTTTGGTACATTAGAGATTCTGAATTTCTGTATTACAAAGATTTATGATTGTTGTGAATATTTATTTAAATATTTTGAATTCATTGATTCCATATATCACTAATCGCTAATATTGCTTTCATAGTCATACACTGATACAAATTAATTATCAAACTATACCCATAAATATAGGTTGTCAGGCAACAGAACATATGCCCAAATCAGTTAAGTGTCTGATTAGTCAACAAGGGTTGTCTCATATTTTTTCTTTTGTTAGTAACATTTACACATTTACACTAAAATCTGATTAAGATTAACAACCCATTAAGAAATTATCCGAAATCATTAGAATTTGTTGGGCTTATAGTTCTGCCCCATGCTAACGTTTAGTATACAAAACATGTAATACCATGTATTTTGTTCTATTTATCGGAAATCATTGAAAATTAAGGTCCATACCTCTGGAACTATTTATCAGAAACCATTAGAAATCAATAGGATTTGTTGTCTCATGATCATAAATTTAAAGTCAATCGGTTAATAACTAGCCTCTAAAGCGTCCACAAGATTTATCAAAGTGATCAAAGGCCATAACTCTGGCAGTAATTATCGGAAATCGCTGAAAATCAATAGACTTCTTTGTCTCATGACCATAGACACTGTGGATAAATTTAAAGTCAATTGGATAATAACTTTAGTCTCTAGAGTGCCCACAAGCATTTGTGGATGCTAGAGAACCAAACAGATCAGAGAGACAGGGGCGACCACAATATACAACCACATTTCAATGTGGACGTAAAAAAAACGAATTTCATTTAAATGTAAATGTTTACAGAATCAGTTCAAATTATATTTTCAAAGAATACAATTGTTTGGACCAATCCATAATATCATCTATTTATATTCTTCTGGTGTATCTAAAATTCTTCATAATTCAAATTATGCAGTATAAAGTGAAACTAACCTAAATCTGTATCACCACTATCAACAGCTTTACTAAGAGCTGTATTATTCTGATCCATCTTTAATAATAATGGTACTTGTTCTGAGGCCTTTGGTTCATAATCTAATAGCTGAAATATATAATTTATAAATTATCTCCCTAGACACATCACAACGGGGCTACTCAATAGAACATTGCAGAATTGAATTCTCTCAATCGAATGAAAAGGTGGATTTTGGGCTACAATGCATGCACCGACTGCATAGGAAAATATCTCAACCAACCATAACAACTGAAACATAGTATAACGCCACAATTCTACTCACACCACCTCCATTGTCGGGACTAACAGAACTATAACGGGATTGATTTCCACTTCACTAGATTGTAATCGAGGATCCTCTCTCTATAGTGTTGAGTCTGTGCAGACTGTTCCTGTGGTGATTAGATTAACTCACAGAGATAACTTCTTGTTCATGCTTACTCATGGTAACTTGATTGTCACCTTCATGGGAGTGAAATATTTGAATTCCGGAATGTCCTATCAAGTACTCACAGACTTTCTAAATCATCTCCCTTGATGCATCAAATAAATTTGTCATTCTAAGAAAGTTTGAGACTCAATGCTTAAAATCTAGAAAGTTATCTGTACCATTTAAATAAGACATTTGTCAAATTCAGTTTAAAATTAAGATGGCCTGGTAAACAATAATCATCTCCCTTGATGGACTAATAACAACTATTAATAAAAAAAAACTAACTTTGAAAGACTGCATATTATTATCTAATATCACTTGTTTGGATGGAAAAGGTGTAGACCCTTACTTTTGTTTTTCTTTTTTTTGGATTTGTTAGTAGATAGAATTAGATTACTTCACGGCTATATAAAAAAAAATTCTTTTTACCTTAATGGCAAGTTGTTTACGGCCTTGTTCTAAAGCTTGACTAGCAATTTCGGAGAATGAAACACCTGGAGCATCTAATAATTTCTGTGATATGGATCTGGCTAGCTGTTCTTCATCTTCATGTTTCTGTTGAACCTGAATATAAATAAAATAGTAATTGACAATAAATTTATTATTAGCAACAGGCAAAACTACTATAATAAGTTCATGATATATGTTCTGGAAACAAAAGCAGGATGAAAGGATAGACGGGGTTCATTTCAATATCCTTTGTTGCAGGAAAAAAATATAAATTATAAATAGATTCTTCTTCAAACATAACATTAGAATGTAACATACATTTACTTACCTTATAACAGGCCCAATGTGCCAATATACGACTAGCACCCTCAGCATCAGGTATTTTAAGATAATGACAGATTCTGATGGCTAGACAAAATAATTTACGTAACACTAAACGATCAATTAATACTGGTACTGATAGGTGATTTAATCTAAAACAAGGTCAAGGTCATTAAAATCAAATCTTTATTATATTGGTTACTGGTGCTTCTTTTATGAATGACTTCTTTAGACCATTCAACTAGATCATTCTAAAGTTCCTTCACTCTTGTTGAGGTGCCCTGACACTCCCTGGGGCCTTATTTTTTTATGATGCTTATTACAGTATTTTCAAGACAATAATGATGGCAGATGCTCAATTGTGATTCCAGAACGTTTGAAACTAACAGAAACGCCATGAAGTGACCTAGAATTCACATGTCACAGTTCTCAAAATACATGTGGTCATGATGTGGTGTGAATAAAATCGGGATTTAGATGAGATATTTCTTTTTCATTAAGGACATCCTTTGTGACCGGAAATCTACATGTTCAATGTTCGTATGATAGGCTTCAGATAATTAAATCCTGGAACATTCAATCAAATATTCCTTATAAAGTATAAAAGGATACTGTGTATATGTAAGAGGAATACCAACACTGAATTGTCGAACTTGATTTAATACCCGTAACATCTGACACATATCAACAAATGCCTCTGGACGATAATCTGTCAAAAAACATTTTCCAAATGATGCTGCCTAAAAAAATTAAATACATACAATATGACAATATTTTGATATGACGGCTAACTGGTTTGTAATTTTACCATGATCATGTAATTCATAACATCTAAAACCATTACTTTTATGAAATTCAATTATGTTCAGTTCTCTACTCAATATCTAAACCATAAATTGCCCCACTTTACAATGATCTATTCATATAAATCAGTCTTTCTCACTTTACAGCTGATCGATAGATATCTTATGCTATCAACAATGTAGTGAAGTTTTTACCAGTAACTGGATATTACTGTCTACTAACAGACCATACACAAAAATCATTCCTCTATACTAGTAGAAGTCCTAGTTAAAACCCAACATAAGGCTGGAAATTCTTGAGGAGATTCAGCCTATTACACCAATTAGGAATGAAATCAATTGGAATGGGGTTAATGTCTCGTCATGGTTATGTGCGACAAATGATGGTCGGCCTTGGAAAATCGAAAAAGTTCATCTCTGCCCATTCTGTGATAATCATATTGATTTTTAGGTAACCTACCCTTAGTAATGCCTTTTGTTTAGAAGGTTCTATTTCATGTCCAGCAGCCTGGATACACTGGTCTACAGCTACGTCTAACTTGTCTTTGATCATTCTGATGTATTCATCTGCTTTTTGACTGCGTCTCTATAAATAACCACAGATACATTGGTTCCAACTTGGCCATATATGTCAGTTGGGGCCATCTATTTTAAAATTGACTGTCTCTTTGATGTTATGACAAATAGTATGAAAAGAAATGTGATATGATCTCACATTTTGTCCATAATTTTCATGCATATGACTACTCTTGTGCGGAAGGGTCTTTAGCAGTGAGAGGAAATCAGAGGACCAGGAGAAAACCCATGAGGTTTGACAGGCGACCCTACTCCTTGTCATGAAGAACAGGGGAATCGAAACCACGCCAGTTGACTCAATGACTCAATTAAATTTAAATACTTACTGAAAATTCTTTGGAAGCTTCATACAACATGGCACCAGGCTCCATAGATCCTATCTTAAATATCTGTTCTGTTACATCTATAAGGGAATATTTAAAAAACATCTAAGCCTAATTACTGCATTGTTTTACCTGCCAAGTATTACAGATTCATCCATTGTGCGATACTAATATTGATTGTAAAAATAAATAAAAGTCTAAATAGGTTCCTCATCAAAAACATATACAATCACACTGATCAAAAGTAAATATTCGCTAGGCTGCTACAATCACTGATAGGGATGACACTGGTACGGCTTAATGAGCTCGCAATATTAACTTTTTTCCTTCTGCAAATTAAATTCTAGAACATTTTTTGTAGTCTTATAAAAATAAATAAAGGTTTTTGAAGTATATCTAGTTAAAATATTTTTCCTATTTAGTGTAAATGCATATATAAAATGAATAAAGGCACCATTTCTGCCCGGACCAGTTCAGACTCACAACTTTTTATGTGAACAATGCACGCGCCATTGGCCCAATCATCGACGCCTCTTGTTGTGACATCACATCAGAATGCAGTCACCTTATACAGAGTTATAAGAAGACTTTCGAAATTCCTCTGTGAAACTGATTGATATACAACATATAACACTGTATTTAGTGCTGGAATTGTCTACAAGGAAATGAGAAAAAAAGCTTTGAATGGAGTGAGCAATTTTGGCTAATATCAGTAAAACCCTATGATTCATGAATCACATATCAGCTCATCACCAGAAATATATACCAATTTGTCGGGAAACCAATAATAAGACCTACCTGGTACTTTCTGTAAAAATTGATGAAGTTCATTTCCTATAATTCTTAATCCATCCTCTTCTTGTACTAGATACACAAAACTCTCAAAATTATATCTTTTTATTGATTAAGGGTATTTCTTTCTTAACAGCAACTTTCATTTGAATATGGCAAAACATGGTCTTTATTATATTAACGATTATTTAAAAAAACCTAAAAATTAAGTTAAATCATCAGTATTCTGTTCAGTAAACTACTATCAAGGATACTTTATCCAGTCTTTTTCTGGTCCGACTACAATACATAATTTATCCCATAATGCCACAACAGCACCAACACCACTCCTGTAATATCATAATACAAAACATTAAGGGCATTAGCGTTGGTTGGTAAAAATATAATCTGTCACTCCTACCATATAGATCTGACCTGTTTATGAGGAGAAATTTGACTGAATGACATAAATTATTTATATTCAACCTCTGTTTTGTTTTGTCTACTCCCATAATTTTGTGCTCTAAGCAGTCAAAGTGTTATTTTGAAAATCATATATAAACTTAAGTATATATTGTCTTGTGGAAAGTGACAATGACTCTTCAATAAAAACTGAAACAGCTATGAATCTTACCATGCTAGTTGTTGAGGTCTTTGTGATGCTTTTGTGTTAAATTCACAGTAAACTTTCTTAAAAAAAAAAACAATAATCATATTCAAAGTTAAGGAAATGATAATTTATTTACATGCAATTAATATATCTGATTAGTTTCCTCAAATATTTTCACTGATAGTTTGCTGATGGTCTCTTCATTCAAATGCATACCACTTATTTAGAGACTGGTATCAACATGACGTCTGACCTTCTCCACCAACATTTGATCCTTCTCCTCTCACCTGAAGGCCCTACTTTTTTTTTAAAAAAAACCTTTGTGGCTGGTCTGACCATCCAATTAAATTTTACAAGACACAAATGCTATGATTCTGAAAAATGTGTATTCACCAGACTACATTAGACATGACATGAATGGTGATAGTTTTAAAAATAGACTGACTGAACTCGAATGGTGTTCAATTTGTGTGAGCGCTATTCATTTGGATAAATTTAGAAGACGAAGCCTTAAAAAGAAAAGTATAAAGAATATATAAATAATTGTCTCACCTTTAAATCTGAGGAACCAATCCAGATAACACCTTTATCTGTAAACATAGCTAGTAGTTTATTATTAAACGATACAGCCATCTCTATAAATGCAGTTACAGTAGAGGCTAACTCTGGAAACTAAAAAAACAAAATAGACAATTTATTTGTAAGATTCACACTTCAAGTTTCACATGACATGTAATATCAGTTGAGCAATTATTATAATGGAGTTATGTTTAGAATATTTTTGGTTTGATCCCTGCTTGGACTATGAAGAACCGTAAAGGTTTTTTTTCAAACCTAGTTTTCTTTTAAAAGTGATGCTTGCTGGGCAAAACAGGTAAGTGTGCCAAGTTGTTCAGGTGGTCCAAAAACTGGGGTCCTGCTGTATGTGCAGTGGTGTGCACATAAAATAACCCATGCCAGTTGCAATTGAAAGAAGAGCATACATAAATGCTACTGTAAGCGCAATATTGTCCTATTGCAGATGAAAATATAAATTACCATATGTGATAACCATATATATATATCATTTCTTTATTAATGTTTAATATTAACAAATATAAATTTATATTTTTTCTCCACATTTGCAATGTTTTCTGAATGTTAACTAGATCAAGAACTGAAAGCAGACAAATAAATTCACCTGTTCCTGATATTGTCCACCATGATCTACCAGAAAAAGCTGAGCATCTTTAGCAACGAGAGCTCGAGATTGACGATCTAGATTTAATATCGTCCAACTACTTGGTGCACTGTTTAGATCTTTAATTACAAAAATATCAGACTAAAGTAAACTTCACATCTCTTCAGACCACCATTTTATATATTTTAGTAGGGGATACCCCAAAAGAGAAATCACAAACATGGAATACCATTTTATTGAAAAAATTTTGGAAATATCAAATTTCATCCATGGTTGAGTTATAATATTCTAATAGTCTTGGGGTATTTTGCACGAAACCATAAGGTTGCAACTTAAAGATTCATCTCCAATTCATCACTTTGTTCCAGTCTACCCAGCTGTCAATGGATCAGTTGTTTGATGTATGCATTGACAATAAACACTATTGTGCTTTACAGGCAGCCTAGAATTTGAGGGAGCCACAGTGATTAAGTGAGTAAAACACTGGCTCGCTAGCCTGGAGGTTGCGGGTTCGCTCCCGGTGTTGGCAAAGAAATGTTAATCAGGATTTTCCAGCATGGTTTCCCCTTGTCAGTGTCTAGTTATTCGGATGGTTACGAAAAACCGAGGTTCCATGTACACATTGGCGTGCACATAAAAGATCCCTTGGCAGTTGGAATTCGATATAAGAGTAGGCCATAGCACCGCTGTCCTGGCAAAATTTCCCCTCATAGCAAACAGCATGCTGTATGCCCGTCTTCATTAGCCCTGTCGGAGCAGAACAGTAGGACATTAAACCCCATTTCATTTGTTAGAATTTGGTGCACTTCATAAGATTTGAAGAGGTAAAGGGAGACAATCTGGCTTTTACCTGCCGGGGTAATAATCATGTCACACTTTGAGCATATCCTTGGGGATGTGGTGTTAGCACATTATAAATATACACATTACTAATACAAATCCTTGGTAATATATCTTGTATCTCATTGTAATAGTCTTGGGGTATTTTGCACGAAACCATAAGGTTGCAACTTAAAGATTCATCTCCAATTCATCACTTTGTTCCAGTCTACCCAGCTGTCAATGGATCAGTTGTTTGATGTATGCATTGACAATAAACACTATTGTGCTTTACAGGCAGCCTAGAATTTGAGGGAGCCACAGTGATTAAGTGAGTAAAACACTGGCTCGCTAGCCTGGAGGTTGCGGGTTCGCTCCCGGTGTTGGCAAAGAAATGTTAATCAGGATTTTCCAGCATGGTTTCCCCTTGTCAGTGTCTAGTTATTCGGATGGTTACGAAAAACCGAGGTTCCATGTACACATTGGCGTGCACATAAAAGATCCCTTGGCAGTTGGAATTCGATATAAGAGTAGGCCATAGCACCGCTGTCCTGGCAAAATTTCCCCTCATAGCAAACAGCATGCTGTATGCCCGTCTTCATTAGCCCTGTCGGAGCAGAACAGTAGGACATTAAACCCCATTTCATTTGTTAGAATTTGGTGCACTTCATAAGATTTGAAGAGGTAAAGGGAGACAATCTGGCTTTTACCTGCCGGGGTAATAATCATGTCACACTTTGAGCATATCCTTGGGGATGTGGTGTTAGCACATTATAAATATACACATTACTAATACAAATCCTTGGTAATATATCTTGTATCTCATTGTAGGGCAAAATATCTAATACATAAGTAATGGGCTTAATAAGTATGGAACCCTTGCCTAGTAACAATACGGCACAAAAAACCCAGCAAACCTAGTAAGTATGGAGCCTTGCCCAGTAACAAACAATAATAAACTTGGTAAGTATGGGGCCCTTACCCAGTAACAATAAAACACGGAATAACATCATATTTTGAGTAACTAACCTGGAACTTCAGCTAATTTTCTAACTCTCGGATCATCAACATTGTTGATTAAATATATCCGATAACTGGTTGTCATGACAGCAATTCCTGTACCCTGGAAACTAGAGAATACCTTCCAATCTAATATCTTCATTTCCTTTGCCTCCTGAAAATAACAGATTACAGTTCACCATAAGTAATATTAATGTAAAGCTTCATGAACCAATTTCAACAAACCAGCTTGAAAAATATTCTACATTGAGATATGACATGCAGATAGATGAAAAATAAGGTCAGTGACAAAAAATGACATTTATACAAATACAAGTAAAAATTGAAACAAAAGTTTGCACGTCTAAAACTAAATTTATTATTTTTATACATTTGTATTGATCAATGTCACGATTTATCTTTGATTGATTATACAATTGGGAATGAGAGAAATGGGCTTTAACATCAACTCGACACATTATGTCATTTCAGGACTAACAAATGGTTCAATATATTATTTCAATAATGCGTTTGCACATAGAGGTCATTAGCTGTGTGAGGAACCCGGAGGACCCGTAGAAAACCTGTGAGGTTGGACAGACAACCTTACTCCATGTCATGTATAAGCGAGGAATAGAAATCATGCCACTTGACTCAATGACAGACCATGTGTTAAAACCATTCGTCCACCAAACCTCCCTTATTACATTGGTATCATACCATACCTGTCCCATGCCAAATGTACGTTTAAAATTTAGAGCAATGTCATAAACCAATATTACTCCATTATCCTGGATACACAACAATTCTTCTGTGTTAGACCATCCTAAATGTACTACATTACCACTGTTCCACTGCAAATAAACAACAATAAAAGTATGACGTACTGTCAAACATTTTGGAATCCGAGATAACTTTTCATCAATCAAAATTATTATTGAAGAAATATACATTCTGGAAATAAAATCAATTTAGGCTTGTTCCTCAGTTTTTTTGTTCTATAAATACCCTTGGCTTTCTATTTCCCTTTTATTTTGTCATTCCAGGTTGCTATAACCATATGCTATGGGGAACTATTGCCAAATGGAAGTTGGTACGCCTATTGTTTTGCTTTCACACATCAACTTAATAGGGCTTGCAATACTGTGTTCAACAATGCCAAAAAAGTTGGTTTAAAATTGATTAACATGCAAAATATGTCATAGACAATCATTCTATTATCAAGATCAGTGTCTTTATTACAGCAAGTGCTATGATGTGTAGGGTCTTTCAGGATTGGCCTTTCTATGACCATTATAGCTCTCTGTTTCACCAAAGAACAAATTTTGATAATAAGATATATGATATTTTATTTATAAATAATTATTATACAATCTGATTAAAATACAGATCTATATTTCGTTTCGCTTTTTTTATACTTTTGATGGCCTACATTACATGAAGATCTAACCGGTTGTACTGGAAGGTTACATCAGGGGTTGGACGAGTGGCTTTTGACCCTACGCGTCAGACATTGATTAATCCATCAGCCAAGCGCTGAAATAAGCGTCCGGACACGGACAATGTCCGGGCGAATTGACCCCTTTTGACAGGCCAAATTGCCTTTCGTCCGGACATAATTGTCCGACCGTGTTTTTGTAAAACATTATGTCAAAAATATTTGAGTCGATCGCTATTTATTATTAGACTCGAAAGTCCAGAACCAAAAATATCAATGACCCGAGTCATAGTGAAAATGTTACTATTTATATCTCGGCCGCGTGCAGATAAAATCTTCAATAATTTTTAGAATCGACTCTTTTACGCTGGTTATATCAACGACCCGAGTCATAGTAAAAATATTACTATTTATACATGTATCTCTCTCGGCCACGTGAAGAAAAAATAATGAATAATATTGAGAATCGGCTCTTTTACACTGGTTATTCGAGTCTCGTAGCTAGCTTTGCGTTACTTTCGTATATGATTAGCTCTAAATCACACCTAACATGACATGTAATTATATAAATTATTAGTAATAAAAGTAATAATATTTTAAAATTAGTTTACAAGAAAATGTCCAAGTTGACTATGGATGTAATTAGGGACAGATTTTTTATACGAAAATATCTCACTTTGTTGGACACTTCCAATGTGAATGTAAATAGAAGAGCCGTGAAAACATGTCGAATAAAATAACTTCTTACTTTTCCCAACCCTCGGACACGGATATCCCGGCTAGTGGGACCGTTCCAGAAAATTCAAAGACTGGTACTGTGTCTTAATCTTATGTCTCTCATAAAGACACTTCTAAACGGGGGGCGTCGCCGTCACCAGTTGGAAAAATACAAAAACGAGCCGTAGAACTAGAAAAGTGGATCAAAAATGACTTGGCAGATTCTGAACCATTTACGACAACTCAAGATGTCTATTCTTTAGTTAAATTTGAATCTTAATCAGAGTTTTTAGGATTTAGTCCCCAGCCCCACCAAAGAGATTAATGACATTATTATATGAACTATAAAGTTGTATTCCATATACATATAAAAACTTAAAACTCCAGGTTGTATGTGAGTCATCAATTTATTTTATTAATAAATGTATGTATAATAATATATATAAACATAGTAAATTTCAACAGTTTTTTGGTTTAATATACTTTATAAAGTATTTGTCAGGCTGAAAATCTGAAATGTCCGGCCGAAAATCAGTTCAGCCTGACATGATGTCAGGCTGAACCTTAGCAGTTATTTCAAGGCTTGCCATCAGCGTTGATGTTTCTAGTGGTTTACCCACAGTTCCGTGCATCAAACTCGCCATAACAACCAGAATACTGGTAATATAACAACTCTTCCAGATCCTAGTGTAGTAAAGACAAGTAAAATGAAATTTTGAACTATAAAAAATGAAACGAAATAGGATCTGTGTTTTAATCAGATTGAATTATTATAGTGGTAGTAAAATTTTATTTCTTATTGTAATACAGAAATTATGTACTCTACACTATCAACCTAATTCAACATTTTATCAATCTAAATTGAGAGAGAGAGAGAGAGAGAGAGAGAGAGAGAAATGGGGTTTAATGTAAACTCGACACAAACTAGATCATTTCGGGACTAACATAGGGTTCAATTTTATTTCCAGAATTCGCTTGCGCATAGGGGTCTTTAGCTGCGGGAGGAAACCGGAGGGCCCAGAGAAAACCCACAAGGTTGGACAGGCGACCCTACTCCTTGTAACGTACAACCGGGGATTTGAAACCACGCCAGTCGACTCAATGACAGACTTTATGATACAGCGCGCGCACGCTAACCATTCAGCCATCCAACCCCCCAATCTACATTGAAGATGTTTAACTGCTTACTGTGTGAACCGTGGTAAATAATAAACGGATTTCTTTGATTATGAACAAACTACTATACTTTGGTTATTATAAACTTACCTGTGTGTTTGAAATTACCTCCGGTTATATAAAATCCATTGTACAACTATATGTCCTAGCGAATAAAAAAGTTCTCTCTTGTAAAATTGAACTCCTCACAAACTTTGACACCGAGAAATAACAAAAATGGAAGCTAATTACGTCACTTATCGGGATATATCATTTCGTATAGGGGGGTCAAAGCAAGGCTTGTCGGTCGTAACGGTTGTGTATGAATAAGCTATTCCTCTCGGAACCCAGTAATGAGTTTGGGCGTTTAAAAACATAAATACGCCGTAGTCCGGTATTTTGTTTCCCTCTTGTATTATAATTATTTGGTTAGAGAGTTTGGTGGGATTATTTCTTTTGAACTATATTTGTTTTACTGACCTTGAATTAATTTCACCCTTGAATATTTTTATACGCCCACATTTTTATGTGAACGTATTATGTCCTTCCGTCCACAATTGTTTGTGGACTCTCTACTACAGGTCACAATTCTTATCCGATTTTGACGAAACTTGAAATATAGGTTTATCCCCAAAAGATCTTGGCTGTTTTCGATATTGGCATGTATCGGATAATGGCCCCTGATTTTACGAAAAATCACGTTTTTAGCTTGTGGACCCTATAGAGGTCACAATTTTTATCCGATTTTGTTGAAACTTGAAATGTAAGTTTATAACCCAAAGATCTCGGTTCCTTTCGACATTTGCACATATCGGACCGTAACTTCCTGAATTATGGCCCCTCTGATTGTACGAAAAATTGCGTTTTTAGCTTGTGGATCCTATAGAGGTCATAATTTTTTATCCGATTTAAAAAAAAAACGTATTATTATATCACCGTTACACCCTAAAGAAGGCTGAGTTCGAACTTCGTGAAAATCGGCCCAAAACTGACGGACAAAATGGCCGCCCTTCGTTCTCAAATAGCGTAAAAATATGGTATATCAAGGCTTTGGACCCTATAGAGGTCACAGTTTTAATCCGATTTTGTTGAAACTTGAAATGTAAGTTTATAACACTAAGATCTCGGTTCCTCTTGATATTTGCGCATATCGAATTGTAATTCCTTGATTGTAGGAAAAATCACTTTCTTTTTAGCTTGTTCTCTATCCATCTCTCGAAAATGTGGGCGTATCCTGATGGCAGCCGCTGGTTAAAATTTCCTGATGAACTTAAGCAGTCCTGTCAATTAACCTCAGCAATCTGCTGTAGCCGAGGTAAATGCCGATGTATTTTACATTTGCCTAGACAACATTAATAGCCGAGGCCATTGAATCATTGAATAGGCCTATAACGTTATTTCTTTTTTATATAAATACCAAAAATTATTACCAACAATTAATCATACCGCACACCGGATTAATTATCGGCAGATAGTTCAGTTTCTTTCTATTTCGCTCTGAATATTATTTCCAGTGTGCAAAAAACTGTTTAGAAAAATTTATAATCGTACGTGATCGGTAACACAATTATTTTGTAAATTCACGGCTTTGTTTTGAAATTCACAAGGCAATGTATCCAATATACAATTATATATACAGGGGTGAAAAACAATATTATATTTACGAGTATTCGTATAATTGGTGATATGTTCATTGTGAATAAAATTTAGTAGACTGACAATCAATTGTTTCCAAATCAATGTCTTTGTCTCAGTTGCTATTGTGTTGCCCAAACTCAAAAACCCGAAACGGTCGCGTGCTGTTGTGATTACAACACACGTGATTCAACCTTTACCCCCCTTCAACATATTATGATGGTTTAGCTCATGACGTGACATGTGTAATGTTGTGATGGACACTGTCGAAAATACAAGCAAAAACATTGACTTTTCAAGAGAGAACTTTTGTTTTGGTTTGGATATTTAATTGAGCAATGGATTTTATTCAACCGGAGGTGATTTCAAACACATAGGCAAGTTCTTAATAACAATTATTCAGTAGTTTGTTCACAATCGAAGAAATCCGTTTATAATTTACCATGGTTCACACAGTAGATAGTTTTTAATTTACATCTGTGTATAATATTCAAAAGTGTTTTACCCTCAACTGACTGAGTGGTTTACCAGCAGCATTATAAACATTTATTATAGGTTTAACATTTGTTGATACTCGGCCTGTTTTCTTGTCATCTTTCATTAAAGCTGAAATAATAATAATCAATTTGTTTGATAGTGCAATTAAATTCCAATTAGACTTACAGTTGCTCGCTGGTCAATACAATAAACATACATTAAAATATATCACAGTTGAATAAACAAGAAACACAAGCCAACAGTGAGGCTGACCAAGACCCCAAAATAAATAGATGACACATATTAATTAATTGCACATTTATTTTTTTTCAAAAGTATCAAGCAATCAAACTGATTATCAACTATACACTAAGTTTAATCACTTTCTATCAGATAGATTTTTTTTTTTACTTTATACTTTCTGTGAGTTTTTAATGAAAACTATTAATTAAAAATAAATAAATGATAAATGATCTTCTAGAAAAAAGGTTGCCCACATGAATTTCAAAAGATGTCTCAAAATTATGCAAAATCAGTGTCTCAGTTCAACTTATTTCAGGATTTTAGCTTGAAAGTACATGTACTGACAACAAAGTTATTACCTATTGGTCCTCCATAAGGTGCTGCTGCTATCATATACTGATTGAGCTCCAACAATCCATTCCAATCCATTTGATACAGTTCCACATTTCTATAAACAAACAAAAAGTTTCAGTAATTATGTTGTCTTATTTTCTTTGCAAAATTACAACAAACTTTGCTTATCAAATTCAAAACTGTAGTCTAATGATAATGATAAGGCATGTAGATAACCATCTTAGTTGTATCTGACAAAATGCCACACAATTATATCTTTTCTACCGGTGATTTAACTGAATTATCATTAAAAATATAGAAAAAAGAAATCAGTGCTGGACAAAATAACTGGCCCAAGAAGAATACATCTACATGTAACAGGTGCTTTATTCCTGGCATGCTTTCCCAGGTAGCAAAGTAAGCAGCCCAAATGGTTTGATTCACTAAATGGATAGATTTACCCAATTCCACCCATACCAGAAATCTAATCTCATTATATAGTATCTGTGTGAATATGATTATTTCTAACCTCATAACATTTAGCTACTATAAACAACCAATCTGTTTCACAGAGAATTACGAGTCTTCTAATATCTCTGTAAAAGATGACTGCCTTTAACACGTGCCATCTCAGCATGCGGCGTCAGTCATTGGCTAAATGGTGCATGCATTGTTTACATAAGACATTACTGCTTCGGGCAGAATGCTGCCTTTTAGTCATTTTAATACCCATTTACACTAAATAGGAAATAATTTTTACCTACAAATACGTCAAACGTCTTTATTTATTTTTCTAATACATCAAAAAAATGTTTTAGAGTTTAATTTGTCGGTGGAAAAAAGTTAATATTTGAGACTCATTAAGTCGCATTGATGTCATCCTTATCAGTGATTGTAGCGGCCTAGCGAATATTCACTGCTGATCAGTGTGATAAACGACATGTCATTACCATACTTTTATCGTCACCTTGGTCTGTCGTCACCTTGGACATGATTTCATCTGGATTTTCTGACGTGGTTTCCCCTTGTCAGTGGTGCAGAACGGAGGGCCTGACAAGGACAGCTGTCTAGTCTTTCGGATGAGACAAAAAACCAAGGTCCCGTGTATACATTAGAATGCACGTAAAAGATCCCTTGGCAGTTGGGATTCGATATAAGAGTAGGCGATAGTGCCGCTGCCCAGGCAAAATTTCCCTCATAGCACACTGTATGGCGTATGCCCGTCTTCATTAGCCCAGTATAGGAGCAGAACAGTAGGACGTTAAACCCCATTTCATTTCATTTATTGGACATGATGTCTATCCACAACTCTACAAGTTCTTTACAGATATTTTTTGGATTTACAGGGATTGCCTGATGGATCAAAATGAATTAAGAAGATTTATCATGGAGTTATCCATGATTTTGTACAATAAAGTTCCTTCTAAGAAGAACTGAACATTTGAAGCAAGTTTGAACATCAGAAGCTCTTTGAATGGATATACAGATGGACAAGGGTGACGAATATAGAGATCATGTATTAAATAATGGGCGGGCAAGTGGTACTTATATATTATATATATCAAAAAAAATTATTGGTCGAATTGGCTTGAGCAAAGCTCTTTTCCGGTAACACAGGAGCGTAACTAAAACTGTCACCACAGACTGTTGATTAAAAAAAAATTCAGATCGGAACCGGATACACCGGCCACTGGGGAAAAATAGCAATGCACATGCCAACTTACCAAATCTCGCCCAAGCAAGATTACGCGACTCATAGAAATATTTTTATGACACGTTTAATCAATGATGTCACAAATTTCTGACGTCAATGAAAATAATTCTCACACATTTTAGTTCTTTTTTTTTTAAACAAAATTAGTCATATAATTTAGATCTAAATTAAATTCAATTCGGAAAAACGAGATTATTTAAGTTTTAACATTACTTGTATCACTTGAGAAACTTTTATCTGCTTAGCTCTACTCAGGCAATGCCTGTTACATATTATTATTAATCACCTATTATTATTAATCACCTGTAATACACGTTCCCTAGGGGGTTCCAGTCTGCCGTTGCCATGTCGAAATGTGGGCTTATTCAATCAATTAAATAGCATTTTAAGATGAAAAAATAAAATTTTAATCGCCAATATTATTTCGGAAGTGGTTACCTCCCCCTTGAAGCAAAGCCGCGGAGAAAATTAATTACTCATAACTGATTGGACGAAACTAGACCAATAACCTCAGCCTTTTTCCTTTGCTCTTGGCGTGACATCCTCCATTTTACCATCAAATTTTTACCGGTTTGTCGAAGTACTCCTACTAGAACCGGCCCAGAAGTTTTTAAAGTTCACTCACTAACACACAGAAAGCAAAAGTAAGTTTTGTATTTATTTTTTTCATTGGATAAAGTGAGTTTTATTAACCGATTCAGGCTAAAGGATGGTGCCTGACGGAGCATTGGAACCGTCCCAAAACTGCCAACCAAAAGTTAAAGAGGCCCGACTAACCTAGTACTCAAGTAAGGCTAATGATGAAAACTGAGGTCATGGTTCAGTGATTTGATTGCTCTTGCTGTCATATTATTGACGGCGATAAAAGCCATTTGTTTCTTGAGGATTAGGATCAACCATTAATTAACTTTATGAAGAGTGAACTAAAGAGTTATCTGCATCAATTCAATGATTGATAATGATTTCTTAATCTTATTCTTAACAGACTCATGCAGACACTACTAGTACTAGCCTACTTACACTTACTGTCTCCAATCTTCTTGTCTAGAACATCGCTAAAAACCGGGCTATCCTGATCCATAAATTTGATTGCATTTTAAGCAGGATTGGTGCTCTTTAGTTTCAACCTTAAAAACATTTTGTTTTTTAACGCATGTATGTAAGGTCTCAAAATTTACCCCATGTCCTCCCCATCCCCAGTCCCTATTATAATTATTAGAGTATGTAGCATCAAGACTTTTTTTTTAATATAATAGGTCCAATATCATTAGCTTGAAGAGAACATAAAATGGCAAAACAAAATTTTATGTAAAGTACTTATAGCCAGTGGAGCAGTGGTTTACACCAATCTGAGTAAAATTTTACTAAAATTAATTTAGCCATCATCACTCAAAGTTGCAAATATAGACCTCCCATAAAAACGACCTTGCCAGTTAACGAAAACACTCTTAATCCCCTCAAATGCCATTGACATTATGTCACAGGTAACTGAATGCATATTAGAAATTTTTATTCCTTAATTACCGTATAGAGCAGGGTTCGGTACTTTCGGACAGTTAAGCCTACTCGTTATTTCTGACTGGAAACTGAAAAAAAATACTTATACGAGATGTTACGAATGCGAATATACGAACCGGAAGCAAAAAATCCAGATAACTGGAGGGTCGCGTGCGCCAGATAAAGTTGAAATACACATATGCATTCAGGTCTCTTCAGAAAGTTCGGCTGCGTTAAGGACAATGTTTCAGGTCATTTCGGACACTTATACTTTTTTTTTTTTTTTAAATAGTTGTAGCACTCTAAATGTTTAATTTATACTGTAGTTTCATTTCGAGATTTTTAATTAGTTGTATTCTGTACAATAAAGTAGATTTTGTTGAAAAAATTTAACTGTACGTACAATAAAGTAGATATTATTGAAAAAAATTAACAGTACAATAAAGTAGATTTTATTGAAAAGATTTAACGAAGTAGCACAATTTAAAACAATTAGAATCTACATAACAAATCAAGATCATCTAGAATTTAATTCACTATATCAATGCAACTCATTGAGTACAAATTATTTAAATGCTGTTAGTAAATTAGTAACAGTAATCACATACGAAGTATAAATTCTCGACCTCCTCCTCGTCTCACGAGTTACGACACCATTTGTAAACGACATCCAAACCTTAAACATTGGAGTGCCGTAAATTAGTCTGGGTGACCTATTTACGGCAAATATACGAATTTAAAGACTGTAGAATTGTAAAATGAATAGACCTACACAACTTCTAAATATAAATAAGCAAAATACCAATACTTCTTTCTTTAAACTAATTTGGGATGATAGGCCGTGGCAGACATGGTTTGCGTCGGCTTTTACCATGGCTTTGCCGTTTACAGTGGTAAATTTCGAGCGGCGAGTTTTTGTACAGAGAAGGACGAAGGGGTTTAAATACGACTTGGCGGCTTTCTTCGATTTTTTCTCTGTGCTGGGCGGCAAAAAAATAGTGCCCGGCGTGGCTACATCCCTGCTGTGTATGTTGCCTCTTCCATTTTGGACAATTATTATTATTAAAACGATATTTATACACTGCTCGATCTACATGTACCACCGCAGTGCAATGCTTAGAGACGCTTTACAAAAACATTGATTGAAACAATATAAAATTTAAATGTACATAAATGTTTACATAGTGAAATTACATACACATATATAAAATTATGTCTGCCTAGTGGCAGCTCCTTTGCTTTGATTATGTTCTGAAGGCTGGCAATTGTGTCACCTAAGGGGTGTTCGATTCTCAGTCCAGAATATTCCGCAGTGACAGAATTTCAATCAAGAGACACAGACTAAAGTTACTTCACAGTTCTGTCTCCAAAATAGAAGTGGTGCGAGCAGAATTGTTTCAGCTGTGGTGGTTTGTCGGAGTATCAAATTCAGTTTATGTCTGCCTTGTCACCAGAAATTCATCTATTTATTCAATTTACACCTTTCTAGAGATTGATAGAATTTCAGAATGTTCAATGATACAGATTTAGGAAATTGAATAAAATATAATAAACTTATCAATCGTTTTGAAGAACAGATGTGATATGGTAGAGTTACCCTAAGGACAAGGCTTTAAATAATACTATGTGGTACGGTACAGTGGGTAACTTGTGACACATATCTCACTAGCATTCATAGGCCTACAGCAAAAGACGACATGGTATCAAATTAAAGTTTAATAAGGCCTTTCTAGCTATTTGTGCTAGTAGAATAATCATATCTGCAGAAGTTGTCCAGATTTCAAAGTTATCCAATATAGGTACTCCTATCGCTCTTTGCTAGTAAAAAAAATCCTGTGTGCAAAAATTACCATATATATCAAAGTTGCCCAATATTTAGTACTACATGTACATATTCGGTATCTACATGTACAAATCTACATGTACTTGAAGTCAAACCATGATTGTCACCTGTACAAATTAAAAAAAAAAGAAAAGAAATTTTACTACAAATATTCAGGTAAAATAGTTTTCATAACGCATGTGTGATTTGGTATACAACATTAATGTAGTCTGGCTTAACCTGTGCTGCTACATGTGATTGATCGTACATGGTTAATGTTTCTGTTAACATTAAATACAATGCTGTATGGATTTAATTAACTAATAAATGTAATAATTAATAGACTGCTGTAAAACTAAAATAAAAGCAGATGAAAATATTAAGAAAATTTACAGCATGTGAAATGATGCTATGGTAGACAATAAAGGAGGATAGTGATGGAGACGTACACTATACTTACCCATGAAATTTAAAGGATTTAAAGAAAGAAAATAATCCAAACAAAATTAGTAGATTCAAATATTACATGTATGATGATATGAGCTTTACACTGAGTGTGTTGCATTGCCTTTTAATGTCTTGATGTTCATGTGTAGGAAATTAATACACACAGTAGTACTATTAATCTTGTACATTATACTTGCATGAACATATATTGACTAAATAAAACCAAAACAATTACACACATACAGGTAAATATGTAGTGCTATAGCATGAGCCAAAATTTGAATTTATTGATGCTTGCGTTCTTGCTGTGCATGACTAGCTTGGATTAAACACATGTATCAAGATTGATAATTGACAAAGAATGTTTAATTTCTCAAGATATATTTTTTAAATGTAGATATATTGTAAATCCATCGACCTGTACATGTACAGTCCTTTTTTATGTTAATATTTAAAGCGCTGTGTCTATAGTAATATTGATAAATATTTATAATTAAATAGTACAAATAATAGTGAAATTATTTCTTTTAATCTTAATTTAAACTTTAAATTTTAAATTTCAGGTCATGTCTTGGGATGCATATATATCAAACCTTGAAACCGCTGGGTGTAAATTTGCTGCCATAGTTGGACTAGACAGTTCGTTCTGGGCAGGTAACTTCAGTCCTTCAGCTGATGAGATAAGAATATTGGTTAAACTCGCCACAAAAGGAGGAGAAACAAGTAATGGCATCAGGCTGGGTGGTTGGGACTACACCGTTGTTAGTATGGAAGTCAACGAAAACATTAAACTGAAAAGAAAGAACTGCTCTCCAGAGGAAAAGTATTTTGTTTACTGTGGAGTTACGAAGAAAGCAATAGTTATTGGGGCTGTTCCTACAGGAGCCAACGAGAGAAATTGTTGTGTGGTTGTCGCTGGGATTCAAGATTATTTAATTAATGCAAATTATTAATGATACTTCGTATTAGATTTATGACATTGATTTCATAGGTCAAAAGGAATGTGCCATATCTGCTTGATTCAAAAGTCCCTGTTTGTTAAAAGTTTTGTTTTATTTTTCTTAATTTTTAGATTATGTCTTTATTAAAGATACATTATGTAAGATTTAGGTAAATAACTGGCCTTTCTTGCTATAATAGTTTTAAAAAAAAAGAGAACGGAAAATGAATATATTGAAAATTTCATTCAAATTATTTATCACTGTTGGTATACAAGATATGTGCATTGATTGTTTATTATTGTAACCATGATGCTGGTTATTCGAGACATACATGTAGCCTTGCTTCTCCATTTTTATACGCCCACATTTTCATGTGGACGTATATTGTCATCGTCGCCCCTGTCCGTCCATCCACAATTGTTTGTGGACACTCTACCGGTCACAATTCTTATTCCGATAAATCATGTTTTTAGCTTGAGGACCCTCTAGAGGTCAGAAATCGTAAGCAAATAGTGTAAACATCTGGTATGTCAAGGTTGGATGCTTTTGGTATTCATACATATTGGATCTTAACTTCCTGAATTATGGTCCCTGATTGTACGAAAATCACGTTTTTAGCTTGTGGTCCCTCTAGAGGCATGATTATTATCCGATTAAAAAAAAAACAACATTCAAATATATCACTGTTACGCCATAGTGTTGAGTTTAAATTCAGACAAAATGACCACCCCTTGTACGCTAATAGTGTGAACATCTGGTATATCAAGGTTGTGCACCCTCTAGAGGTCACAATTTTGATCCGATTTTGATGAAACTTGGTTTCTTTCGATATTCGCGCATATCGGATCTTAACTTCCTGAATTATGGCCCCTGATTGTACGAAAAATCATATTTTTAGCCTGTGGATTCTCTAGAAGTTACAATTTTTTATCCGTTTTTAAAAAACGTTTAAATATATCACCATTCCACCATAATGAAGGTTGAATTCGTATTTCAGGAAAATCGAAATGAAACTGCATGACAAAAGGGCCGCTCTTTGTACTCAAATTGTGTAAAAGTATGTAATACGAAGGTCACAATTTTTATCCAATTTTGATGAAACTTAAAACATATCTTTATATCCAAGAGATCTCAGTCCCTTTTGATATTTGCGCATTTCAGACCATAACTTTCTGGATTATGGTCGCTGATTGTTTGAAAAATCGCTTTTGTTTTTAGCTTGTTCTCTATCCATCTCTTGCAAAATGTGGGCGTATCCTGCCTGGCGGCCGCTTTTTAAATTCAATCATTAAATGGCCAAACCATTCCAATCTACTTATCATCGGTGCCATCCGATGGCCTAGAGAGTTGATTCTGGTCTTGTCATGATATGTCTAATTAATAATATATATAAAATTAATTTAAAGCCTAAAGAATGACCTGAAATAGGAAGATTTAGCTCTTGAATAATGTATCTTTAAAGGCAATTGTTAAATTTTATCATCACATAGCATTAGTTAAATGTGTTTTAATCAATTTATTACAATGACAAATAATAATGAATTACTTTCTGTGAAGTATCTAAATTATATAAGCTTATATTTATGATTTTTAATTTCCTAATTATTGAAATATAATGCATTTCATATTGCAAGAGTTTACTGCACAGATTTATGACTATAAAAATAATTTTTTACCATTATCATTTTCAGAAGTATTAAGTTACATGAATTCCATATTGCTGGAGCTCACATGTATTTGTGATATCTTTAATTGTCCTCTGCCTTCACAAAATCCTGTATACTCAAAAATTCAAACTTTAGTTATGTTAACAGGTAACCTTTCATTCAATAAATGACCAAGTTGGTCTCAAAATCACCCAAACTATTCATTCCCTCTAGTTGATTGTAAAGTGAGAAAGTCAGGTGATAATTATTGTAATAATTCCTATGAATCTAGTCTCTGTGTATTTTATTTAAATATTTTTACAACTTTAATTCATCCATATTATCCTATTTGACTTGAATTATCAGTATTACCTAACAGTCTGGTCAGTATTATGCCACCTAGTCTCTTTATAAGATGATAGGGGAACTACACTTCCCATTTGGCTTAATTATCATTAAAATCTGTTTATAAGATTACAGATGAAATACACTTTCCATTTGACTTACTTTATCATCAGCATTATCTAAAATACTTTATCATCAGCATTATCTAAAATCTGTTTATAAGATTACTGGGGAATTACACTATACTTTAGGGTGCCAGACATACGTTATTTCCTTTACTGCAATGTAAGGAAGAATCTGCTTTAGAAGTTTATAGGGCTGTATGATACACATAGATGTACATTAATTAGAGCTAAAAGATGTGTCCATATTATACATACTGGCAATACAGGTTGTGAGTGGAACAGTTTAGTTCTATGGAATACAATTACTGCTTATTACTGAGCGACGTTTTGACTAGACTTCTTTAGTCATTATCAAGCAGTAATTGTATTCAATAGAATAGTGACCTATGTATTCCAGTTTAATTACTAAATGCCAAACAATCTTGTCCATTATGGTTGTAAAGTACTATGCAGTTGTTTTGTTGAGATTGATATGTTCTGATATAACCTTAGATTTATTTTTTAATATTCATTAAATTATTTATAGTTTTATCTATATTGCTGTACCAAAGATTTTACCAATATTGTTTAAGAATGTATATTCATTCAATATATGCTTTGCTACATGTACATAAAATTCAATGAAATGGTACCGGTGTTAAAATTGAATTTCAGGTGAGTATAGCGTACACATGAGTATGGTAGTTTCTCGCACCTTCTGATGAGGTTTGATATATAATGAAGTTTTCAAGAAGTACACATTCTCAAATTCTTTTTTCTTAACTGTTTAAAAATAAAAAATCTGTAGGACTTAAAATGTCAAAAAATGAAATGATAGTATACATAAGATACTTGATGCAAATGAATAAGGCCAGTAAGTACTTGGACCGGTAAAATATGCAAGTACTGTGTATGGTATTGTATTTGAGAGTAATACATTTTTCAAAAATATTTACGTTTTTTGTACAATAGGGGCTATTTGTGTTTGATGTAAATAATGAGTCATCAATTCAATATTATTTATCTAAGTAAAAGGCAAAGCAGTCTTCTAAAAGTACACACACTTGTCTCAGGCTTCCATATATCTGTACTTTAAAATGAACTTTGTCAGTGTGATTCTCAAAAACTTGTCATTACATTCTAATCATGATAAACAATCAAGTAATTGTTTCATATTTTATTTTACTTCATTATTATATAATTTATGTTTTATTTGTTATTCAAAATGTTATTTTAAAAAATCAAAATTGATCAATAAAATATTTTAATTCATTACATATTTATTATTGTTATATTGCCAAATTTGGGTAATTTCTTTGAAATTATGCATGTGTAAAATTTAATAACTTGAAAGTATGTGCATAGAATTAATAAGCTTCTGTGTTCAGTTTATGACATACCAAAGAAAATTTCCTATTCATATCTAAAATTGACCTGCCCATGTCTGTCCTCTCAAATTTTCCCTGACAAGGGCTTTTGAAGAAAAATTTTGAAGTTTGATACATTGAATTTTGCCTCACTTCCAATGTATTTTTTATAAAATAATTAAATATATACTGAACTATTTGATCTTATTTTATTTTGATTCTTTACAATCTGATGAATTTGATTTTGATGCTTTACGATGTAGTGAATTTGATTTTGATGCTTTACGATCTAGTGAATTTGATTTTTGCCTTAAAATTCACCAGATTAATTCAATTTGAATTATGACATAAAAGTGAAAAGGGACCCTTTGTAGATGTTCGTAAATCTATGTTACGGCTATTTCGCATGATATGCATTGGATTTTGTCAGCTTATAATAGAGAATGTTTGCTGTCTGTAATGATTTATTGTTTACTAAGCCGACTACAGTGTGCTTCTGCACAGACAAAAAAAATATGCACCTCTTTGGTTTAAAATACACAAGTTATATGTACACAGCATATTTAAACATGGACATGGATGAAGCCAGACAACACAGTTGCCTTTAATGCACTAAATTATAGCAGTCACTGTGATCTGATACTAATATATTGTTGCTCACAAATTGCAATAGAAAAATCCCTCAACAACTTAAGTCTGATTCATTTTAATGTAAACCTTGCATGATAGTAGGTATTTTGAACAACAAAAATTAATGGTTTATTATGTGGCTGGGTTTGTTTACTGGTAAATAGATGTTGGAGATAATTGCATGGAATGGTGTATTAAAACCTAGTTCAGTTGTACAGTAGTAGAATTGTGTTTCTTACCATCTAACGAAGGCTTGCTTTATTACATGCAGGTAAGACTTTATTTTGTTGAAATATATTTTTATAATTAGAACTTTCTGTGAATAATGAAGTTGGTGACTTGCTTGCATGACCACTTATTAACAATTTGCATTTAATTTAAATGAATAGGTAACCTGCATCATAAATTAACAAAATGTGCTTGCTTCTGAATTTTGACAGATGGATCTTTATGGTCTTCAGTGAAAAATTGTTGAAACTGGAAGTAGTCATCAAACTGCCCCATAAAAAATTTTTGGGGGGTTCTAAGTTATAACTTCTAACTTCTAAATTGAAATTAAATCTGGAGTTAGTAGCAAATTGATTTGGTTGTAGTGAAAATTCTCAAAGTTTAGTACCGTACTTAAATGGCAGTGAGTCGTACGACCCTGGAAGCCAGAATAATCGGTGAACATTTAACCATACTAAAATCTAGTGGGTTAACTTGGTTACTTGAGATATTCTTGAATAATGCCCTTGTTTATCTCTCTATAATCCCCCACTTGCTGTAACAAACCTGAAAGCCGCAGTGGCTCAATGGGAAAGGCACTAGCTCGCTAACCTGAAGGTCACAGGTGTGAAGCCAGTTCCTCTTGCTTTTTATACACCCACATTGAAATTTAGTCGTATATACAAGTCGTATTGATGTACAAGTTGATAAACTTTATGAAGAGTTAGACGTACAATACTTTCTGGGATAAAAATGACGGAAAAAGGCGCGGCTAGTGGATAATCCGAGAATTTAATTAGGATTCGATATTTGTAATAAATAGTAAGCGATTAAAGACAACATCGTCTTATGTATGCAATGAATTCTCCTCTGTCTCCCAAGACGTGGCGTAAACATGACCTGGTTTGATCGAATTTTAATAGCAAGGCATTCCTTCGCAATTACAATGTTTGAGAAGGATTTGAAGCATAATTATGACAAATTAATTAGTTTGAATATGTCTTTGGTCCACATATACCATTAAATCACCCAGTTTGTACGCGGGAACCCATCTTTAAGGTCATGAGATGATTTCCGATAATTACTGCCAGAGTTATGGCCCTTGAACACTTTGAAAAATCTTGTTGACGCTCTAGAGGCTAAAGTTAATATCCGATTGACTTTAAATTTATACACAATGTTTAAGGTCATGGGACGAAGCCTATTGATTTTCAACGATATCCGATTATTACTACCAGAGTTATGGTCCTTGATCACTTTGAAAAATCTTGTGGAAGCTCTAGACTAGAGGCTAAAGTTAATATCCGATTGACTTGAAATTTATACACAGTTTTTAAGGTCGTGAGACAAAGAAGCCCTGTGGATGCTCTAGAGACCAAAGTTATCATCCAATTAACTTTAGATTGATAAACAAGTATATTGATTTTCAATGACTTTTGATGACTTGACCAGCTAAATCCATGATATTAAATGTTTCGTATACATGGGGCAGAACTAAAAGCCAAACAATTTCTAATGATTTTCGGATAATTACTTAATGAGTTGTTACTCTTAATCAGATATTATAAATGTTTCATTACCGACAATAGAAAAAATATGCGACAACTCTTGTTGACTGCTCAGGCGACTTAGCTGCTTTGGGCGTATGTTTCGTTGCCTGGCAACCTATCTTTCCTCTTGTCAGTGGAGGAGTGGGGGGGGGCGGAGGTGAGTCAACTGGCGTGGTTTCGATTCCTGGTTGTTAGTGATGCAATACGGATGTCTTGGCAAGGAATAACATCTAGTCATTTGGATGAGACAAAAAACTCATTTCATTTTTGTAACAAACCTTGTTTTCGTGGACAACTGGTGTGTTTGACAACTGACTTGAGGAACCAATGATGTAATTGATAGTACATGTTCATAATCATGTATTATGAGAAGAGTGGGCACCAACATGTACAATAAACATGTTGGCTACTAAAATAGAATTATTTTAATACTTGAAGTGTTTATTCTATGTTGATATTTACTGGGTTATAGGTATCTTAAAATAGTTACTTCTGGTACCTAACTGTACACAGGTTTACAACACCTGTAGGACTGGTTGATCTGACCTCCTCATAATATAATACAAAAGGTCTGGTTGATCTAATGAGTAATGTGTTGTTCTGTAACTGGTCTAGATTGTAAAGGTATATTATTTATTTATGTTTAAAGAGGAGTCTTGTCTTGGGTTTAAATAAAGATTTCAATTTCATTAACTTCAAGATATTATTCCTTTAATGTCCGAGGCTTTAATACAAAAATAAAACAAAAAAACTGTGAGACTATATTACTAACACATTAACCTGCTATCTTTCACTTTCATGTTTACTTTACCTTAATTTTTTAAAATTTATATATAAAAGTAGTATATTAATACATACAAACAACATACTGATAATGGGAAGATATCAATAAATTTAACAATTGAAAGCCTCTAAAAAAAAAGAGTTAAACATATAGATTTAAAATCTTGTTAAAGATGCACAATTGTGGATGATTCAAAGGCACATTCCACTGTTTTGTTGATTGAAAGGAAAAAGAGTACTCTACATGACTTAATAATCTGATTTTCTAGAAAGAGAAGCTAACTCATTAAAAATACTGTCTATTATACATGTTAATTTAAAATATCACCATAATAAGTATACTCAATGATGATATAACTATGGCACTATGATGGAACACCCTTTTGCTTTCCTTTGTGTATCAAATAATGTAGAATATTATAAAATGAAATTTCTGTATATTTCAGATGTCCTGGGAGCCGTATCTTGCTCAACTGCAGTCCGTTGGAGTGGAAATTGGTGGTCTATATGGAAAAAATGGAGCATTATGGGCAAGTCATCCTGAATTCCAGTGTAATCCAAATGAAATTTTGATAGTTGTAGATGCATTGACCAGTTTTAACGATAATATTTACAGTACAGGGCTCATACTTTCTGGAAAACGCTGGACAGTCATTAGACGAGAAAACGATGTTGCAGTGTTGATTCTAAAAGGAAAGGATGCCGACAATAGTAAAACAAATCTCATCATAGCTCTATCAGGAATGGCAGTTGTATGTGGAGCAAATAAAAATGAGGACGTTTCTGCCGGAGTTATTCGAAATGGAGTAGAACGAGTTCGTGATTATCTTAAATCTGTGAATTATTGATCATGTGACTGTCATGTGACTCGTCATGTGATATGAAAGTCATTGTACGTGATACCAGAAGACATTAAAACTTTTTTATGTGTAGTCACATGTAAAGATATCCGTCCATGTTGCTTAGTAAACCCTGTAACCATAACAATTTAAACCTGTATGATCCCTTAAAGGTCATATAAATACTTCATTAGGTCTTCTGTACTGACTGGTCACGTAGTTGATCACATGACTGTCATGTGACTGTTGATGTAAAGGTGATCGAATGATTGTGACTGCAGGACCTGCACTGCCATATTTAGCAACTGTTCTTTATGTGTCGTAACTATTTAGATTTTAAAAAAAATATAGGATGGAAGGAGTTATCATTCATAGCTGTTATTACGGAGTTGAAGAGATAGTAGGATTAAGTAAAACGTAGAATGAAAATATTTGGTTTTTTTTTTTTGGTTAACATCTTGGCTTAACTTCAGTATCAGTTCCAAGAAGATATTAATGAGATAGTAACTACCAATACCAATGACAAGCGACTTAACTTGACGCTTGCGTAAGAGCAATGAGGAGTTTTACCAAGATGATTATAATTGTTAGTCTGTCATCTTTACTAAATTCAGGGATGTTGATATTTTCAAGATTTTAAATCAAAGTCTAAAATGAAACTATTTAAACAACAAGTATTTTTGACTACAGCCACAAAATCGGATCTTCTTCATTATTGTTATTGCACTCTATAGAATCCCCCCTCCCCCTGTTTACGAAATTCCAATATCCGTACAGTTGTCTGCCTATCTTCATCCCTGATTTTATTTTATGAAAATAATATATATCTTTAGATTTTAAATTTATTTTAAAGAAGTGCATCCCATATTGAATATTTTTTAAATGTATATTATATTTTATTTCGCTGCTTGCTGTATTTAAAATTTTTATTTGCTGAGGAAGGGCTCTAGGACTTGGTTGTCATGCTTTTGTATGGAATAAACTGGACAGAAACACTCAAACTTTGAATTGTTTTTGGTTGTCTCCTGGGGTTGAATTCTGCAGTTATTATTCAAGTGCTGTTCACACCTGATTGTTAAATCTTCTCTCTACAAAAGATGCTCAATTGTTGTTGACAGGGGACAGTATTGGGAACAGAGGGGTGACAGTTTGGTTATTGATCTTATTTGTCAAACCCAGTACTCGCTTGTTAAGGGGCAAAATTCTCTGTCTCACATTGCATCGCTGTAAATAATGGACTGATAGAGATTCAAGTTCCACTTGAATTTCTAAATTCATATTTTGGTGGGTTTTTTTTTTATTTTCACATAAAAACTATGAATTTAACAATACTTCAGGACTTGAAGGATAATATTTTGAAATTAATAATTTCCTGATATGAAACAAAAGCCCTGCTACAAAGACTCTTGGAATTGGAGGAAAGGTGCTAGGAGACACAGCATCCAAGCTAAATTACATAATCTTAGTCTTCAGAATGGTGGGGGGGTAGCTGCTCGGTAAGATATAATGTATTTTCCCCCCTAAGTGAAGTCTTACCCAGGTGTTCAACTCCTTTCCATTCCAAATGAATCTTTTTTTAGTGGGTAAAAGAAGAGATTTAAAGGCTTGAGCTAATAATTTTACTACTAGAATAAAAAAAATATACATCTACCCATTTAACTTAGTGTAGTAATAGAAGTTTTATTTACAGGGTTATAATATATATAGGATCTATTTACAATTATAATTACAATATATAGCGGTTCATTCAACCACACACTGATACCAGTAACAAGTCAAAGGATGCACACACATGCCAACATGCATATAATCTAATAATTCATTTCTTTAATACACTTGTAAATTCAGACATACCAATCATTTACCCAATTATGAAACTATGTAAAATTGCACAAATATTAATTTATCTGCATTGTATTTTTAGTATCATCCATAATTCAATTTAATAAAATAAAAATATTTCTCATAATCTGGAAAAACATTAAGTAACGTGAGGCACATAGATTTGTACATAAAATGTGAATTGAGGTTGCTATTTATGTATCGGTACACATCAGATATTTAAATTAAATTCACTAGGATATAAATTTGAATTTATAAGTGCATGACAACAATATCACTATTAATAATGTAGACATGAAATCCTTTGATTGACAAATATACAAAATAATACTGACTAAACAATACAATAAATTGTAAAAACATATTTGAGATCAGAATATACTGTTAAAATACCGGAGATCATTGAATATGTGCATAAATTATAGTATGTATAACAAATATATAGAAATAATACTGAAAGGTTTATAGTTATTGGTTTTTGCTGGATCAATAAATCGAATAATTTTTTAATAGAGTCGTGGATATATAGACATACTGTAATTCCAAAAGAAAAAGAGTATGTGTTTGGGTAGATGTCTGGCCAAACTATGGCCTTTTTCAGACATACTGGTCTAGGAATGTTCTATGTATATGAAAACTGCCAAATTAGTTTTTCTTTTGATCACATAAACCATAAAAGAAACTGTAATTAAAAAATTATGTTTAGTTCTACAGTCTAAGAACATACAATTTAGCTTTAAAAAAAACAGTCGAAGTTTGCATCATACTTACTACATAGTAAACGATAGTTTAGGAATGTTAAAAAAAAATCTTTCCAGATATAGAATATCTTGTGTATAAAAAACACACCCAAACAAATTTGTTTCTAATCACTATGTTTTTGATCTGACAGAAACATTTATATAAATATACTTGTATATATTTTCAGATAAATTTGCTCAGTAATTTTCAAATAATTTTATTTTAACTAGATAACCTTTTAAGATAATATAGCTAAATGTTGAGCAGATCAAGAGAAACTAATATAAATTATTTCAGATATTCCCTTTCCTTAATATCTGGCTCTTTTCATATGATCATATATATATATATAATATATGTACATGTATATCAAGAGTAGGTTAAATTCTCTAGTTAGTTTCCTACAATGCAAATAATCCTTTAAAAAAAAGGTTATGCTATATCTCTGAAGTATTTAAAATATTTCCTATCCTAAATTCTTGTCTATTTTCACTTTCCACTCCATCAAAACTGATGAGTGAACCATTTTCAGAATCCTGTGGCATCATGACTCAGGGAAGAAAGAATTCTGTCTATATTTAGCAACAACAGATTCTAAAATTAGGATATATAAGTCAGTTTTTGTGATGCTGAAAGTTACAAGTTGCTATTGAGGCCTTATATTATAGCTATTTGTTTTACAAATACATGTATTCAAAGGTGATTTTTTTTTACTTTAAATAAATGTGTGTCAAGTCAATAAAAATTCTATAGATTAAATAAACATAATCAACAAAACTCATATTTTAAACTCATTTTTTAAGTTACTGTTTTGAGCCATGGGTAGAGATGATTTCTTATGGACCATGGTAATGCCACGATAACACTTCACTTCACCATCACTTCACCGTAAAGAACAGAAGCAACAGTTGCTTTGCCATAGGAAACACTTTCCTGAATTTATATTTTCAGTGAATAGAATATTCAATAAAAATTGCCAATTAGTTTGTAAAACCAATAACAAAGTGCATTAGCCTAACATCCACCATGTAGTTTAGTTAGATATATGTAGGTAGATTAATGGACTGATAAAGTAGTAAGATATCTATATATTGTACCTACTTCTTTATCTTTATCAATATATAACAGACAGATAAACAATGCTATCATGTCTAACATAACTGTAATTAAATAGCCTATTTACTTTTTAAAGTTTGCTCTAAAAATATTTAAATATCAATATATCGCAGTTTTACCAGCTAAATTTACATTATGTAATGTAGTATTAACACATTTTTCTGAAAACAAGATTTTGTTTGAATAATTTTATCACACCAATACAGACATTCAAATTAAGTCATGTAGCTGGGAAACAAATATAGGTCCACCAGCAGCTTTTTAAAGGGTGACTTTCTTCATGACTTCATGGTCAGGGGCAGTAACTATGCATAAAATTTATGGGTAAGTCTTGACTGGTAGAACAATCCCATCAAGTTTAGAAAAAAAACACAGAGTTGAAGAGCGCTAACAGGGTTTCAGCAACAGCTCTGAAAGAATGTTGAGTAATACTGAATTTCAACATGGACACTCTCCACAACTAGCTGAAAAATCAAGAAGACCGTTCACAGGAGCAGTAGCTCTGCAAACAATCATTGTGTGATTCTGAATGTGATGGGGTTCCTCAATGTGATTGGCTGAATCATCCTAACGAGTCTCAAAATAAACCCCCATAAACTATCTAGTGTACAGCATTTACAAGGATTCAGCAACTGGGGTAGTAATTGCACTAAATCGTTTGTCCTTGGTCCTCTTTGAAACTTTTCAAAAACTCATTGTGTGATATGGTTCCACTTTAGGAGAGAGAAATGGGGTTTTATGCCTACTCGACACAAACTAGATCATTTTGGGACTAACACAAGGTTCAATTTTATTGCAATAATTTGCTTGCGCATAGGGGTCTTTAGCAGTGGGAGAAAACCCATGAGGTTGGGCAGACGACCCTACTCCTTGTCACATACAACCGGGGAATCGAATCCACTTTAGGAATGGCCAAACAATCCCAGGAATTTTTTTTTTTAAAAAAAAAAGTCTGAAGAATTGTGGATGGACGGACTGACCCGACGAACAGGGGTGATGACAATAAAATTATGCTCCCACATGAAATCTGGGCATATAAAAATCAGCAGTATTTGAATGACCCATTTTCAAGTAAAATGTCAGGTAAAAATATAACAAATTGTTAAAAAGGATACAAAAATAAAATTTTCTCGTTACACAGAACAAAAATTTGCATAATATGTTAAATATCACATTGAATAGGCTATTTGCCATGGTTTTACAATGTCATTTGTAAAAGGTCTAATACATAAGTACATGTAGCCATAAAGGAATAATTCTTATATTCCTTTGCATTCTCGGTATCTCCAGTGGTATCGTTTTATTCTACTCCACTAACGTCTGGGTCCATCCATGGGGGAAGACACAGTCAAATTATCTGCCCTTGATACTTCCTCAATTTTTATCAACCAATCGAGTGGGCGAAGGGAAGTAACACTCATTGTATTCCAACTAAGATTATTGTGGTGAACGTAAACAGTGATGCTAAGACTGGTATGTAAATTGTTTTTTGATTGGTTCGTAGAATCAAGCCACGATCAAGGGCAGATAATTTGACTATATGTCACCCCCGTGAATGGACCTAGAGGTTAGTGGAGTAGAACGGAACGATACCACTGGGAATACCAAGAATGATTCCTTTGGTGTTCATGCATGAAATATCTCTCATAACACATTCTAATAAAACAAAACATTTTTTTTTTCAAATAGGAAAAAGTGTGCTGTAGAGAATACAACAGGCTACAAACCAAACTCCACTTAAAAACTAGGGAGATAAACAAGTATTTTCATTAACAAATCCAAAAAACATCAATTAACCAAATTTATAAATTAAATTATAAATCTTAACAAGTGAAGGTGCAAACTTTCAGTTTGATTCTGGAGTCAAAAAACACTTTAAAACAAAACTTATCATTATGTTTTTTCCATTCCTTTGTCACAATTTGATATTGTAAATATTAATGCTAAGTCCATAGCCGGTACTAAGCCAAACAATATCAATAGGCCTACATAATGATGCAATATGAATATAATCTTAAGCCCAAATTTCAATATTGTTTCATTTAATAATTTGAGTTTATTCTTAAATATTATGGAGTTTAAGCTGAAAGTAGTTTTGCCATGCAGTTTTTGTAGTTGTGTTAAAGCACTAAGACATAATGTTGATAATATTAGCAATAATCTAATAATTTCATTATATAAATACACTGGAGTCTTGATAATTACCAGGAAACATTTAAAATACAATTAAAAGAATCATTATTCTTTGGTCAGTATTTCTAAGGATTAACATTCAAACTTCATTTAGGAATATGAAAACAAT